TATACAAATATGCAAACCATTATTAATTATTATTACAGTGCCATTGCACACACAAATCCATGTGCATAACTTTGAACTGGAAGTGGGCATTCCACTTTGGACAGAAGTGCCCAACTCCTTCTTTAAGGGACTATTCTCAGGTTTTCAGCTGCAAAATTATACCTACGAACAGACGAATTAAATTAATTGTGGGATGAAAAGTCTTTTTTACTTCCTTGAGATGCCCTGGCCTGGATAGTTTCCCATGGATGGCTCTCCCATTTGCATGGACTCTGTTTCCAAGCTAGGTGTCCTCCTATCCTGTGCATATTTCACTTTTATTTCCTAAGCATAGTCCTGCACATTTCTCCCTGTTGTTGACTTCTGTTGACGAATGGATGAGGTCTGGATCTCTTTGGACTCAATAGTCCTGCAGGTCAGCTGGCCCCAGAACAAAGCTGCAAAAAAGCCAGTCGAAACAGTGGGGTGTTGGCATTTGAGCCTCCTTTCCCCACAAGTAGTGGGTGCTGCTCATTGCACGGCTCAAAAGAGCCAAGGAAGGAGAAGGAGAAGGCAGGAGGAACAGCTGGTCTTCCTGAGCCACATGGCGCTCCCAGGGTTGGATGACGAAAGGCTCCTTGGCTTCGGCTCCTGGAGACCGAGAAGACCATCTGCCAGTCAATCTGCAGCAATGGAGGTGTGCAGGGAGAGAGAGAGAGAGAAAGAGAAAGAGCAAGGCTGCTCCAATTGTGCCAAAGGTGGGAGAAACGAGGAAGGACTATTATCTCTCTTCCCACAAAGATGCCCTTCCCTTCTTTCCATCCCATTACTGTCCATATCATCTCTTTGCACCCACCTCTGCTCCTGCAATCTGCCATAGAAGAGAAACTACATAGGCCAATCATGGGAGCTAAGCAGGGTCAGCCCTGGATAGGATTTGGGTGGGAGACCGCCAGCAAATACCAGCTGCTTCATGGGCTAAGGTGCCTTCTCTGACTCTTTGGTGCCTTTCCAAACTGCAGCTCTCCTAGGATCCCATAACGTTGAATCACAGTATTTAGAGTTGTTGTTGTTGTTTACTTTATATTTCTCCTCATAGGAACTCAAGGCAACTAACAATGACAGCAACTACACCTCACAAATATCAAGGTCTATTTTACCCAAACTCCACCAGTGTTCACATTTGGGCATATTCAGTATTTGTGCCGAGTTTGGTCCAGATCCATCATTGTTTGAGTCCACAGTGCTCTCTGGATGTAGGAGAACTACAACTCCCAAACTCAAGATCAATGCCCACCAAACTCTTCTGGTATTTTCTGTTGGTCATGGGAGTTCTGTGTGCCAAGTTTGGTTCAATTCAATCGCTGGTAGAGTTCAGAATGCTCTTTGATTGGAGGTGAACTATTAATCCCAGCAATGACACCTCACAAATATCAAGGTCTGTTTTTCCCAAACTCCACCAGTGTTCACATTTGGGCATATTCAGTGTTTGTGCCAAGTTTGGTCCAGATCAATCATTATTTGAGTCCACAGTGCTCTTTGATTGCTCTTTGAATGCTCTTTGATTGGAGGTAAACTATAAATCCAACCAACGACACCTCACAAATATCAAGGTCTATTTTCCCCAGACTCCACCAGTGTTCACATTTGGGCATATTGAGTATTTGTGCCAAGTTTGGTCCAGATCAATCATTGTTTGAGTCCACAGTACTCTCTGGATGTAGGTGAACTATGACTCCCAAATGCAAGGTCAATGCCCACCAAACTCTTCTGGTATTTTCTGTTGATCATGGGAGTTCTGTGTGCCAAGTTTCGTTCCATTCCATTGTTGGTGGAGTTCAGAATGCTCTTTGATTGGAAGTGAACTATAAATCCCAGCAACTACAACTCCCAAATGACAAAATCAATCCTCCCCAACCCCACCAGTATTCAAATTTGGGCATGATGGGTATTTGTGCCAAATTTGGTCCAGTGAATGAGTATACTATGTTTGTGCCATTGTAAGCTGCCTTGAGTCCCCCTGCTGAGGTAGAGAAAGGCAGGGTATAAATATGGAACATCTATATAAATAAAAATCTAATGTTTGTTTGCGGGATTAACATAACTCAAAAACCACTGGACGAATTGACACCAATTTTGGACACAAGACACTCATAAAAACATTGAAAAGCACAGCAAAAAAAAGACTTAAAAAGCCAAAAAACAAAAAATACTTTACAATGCATGCACAAAACCATACATATACTCAAACATACACACACAATACATACATACATACATACACAAATATATGCATATACACATACACAAAACACATACATAGAAACGGGGAAGGAAGGGAGGGAGGAAGGGAGGAAGGGGGGAGGGAAGGAGAGAAGGAGGGAGAGAAAGAGGGAAAGAAGGAGGGAAGGAGAGAAGGAAAGAAAGAAAGGTAAGGAAGGAAGGAAGGAGAGAAGGAAATAAAAAAGTGAAAGAAGAAAGAAAAGAGAGAAGGAAGGAAGGAGAGAAGGGACTAAAGAGAAAGAGGGAGGGAGGGAGGGAGGGAGGGAGGGAGGAAGGATGGATGGAAGGAAGGAAGGAAGGAAGGAAGGAAGGAAGGAAGGAAGGAGAGAAGGCAGGGAGGGAAAAGGAAGGGAAAGAAGGAGGGAAAAGAAGGAGGGAAGGAGAAGAAAGAAAGAAAGGTAGAGAAGGAAGGAGAGAGGGAAAAAGAGGGAAAGGGAAGGAGGGAGGAAGGAGGAAAGGAAGGAAAGAAGGAGAGAAGGGAGGAGAGGGAAGGAGGAGAAAGAAGGGAAAGAAGGAGAAGGAGAAAGGAAAGAAAGAAAGGTAGAGAAGAAGGAAGGAAGGAGAGAAGGAAAAAAAAAGAAAAGAAGGAAAGAAAAGAAAGAAGGAAAAGGAAGGAGGAGAGGAAGAAAGAGGAGAAAAGGAGGGAGGAGAGGAAGGAGGAGGGAGGGAGAGAGGGAGGATGGGACAAAAGAGCAAAGGGAGGGAGGAAAGTAAAAGGTAAAGAAGGAAGAAAGAAAAAGAAAAAGAAAAAGAAAAGAAGGAAGGAAGGAAGGAAGGAAGGAAGGAAGGAAGGAAGGAAGGAAGGAAGGAAGGAAGAGAAGGAAGGAAGGAAGGAAGGAGAGTAAGAGGGAGGGAAGGTTGGTCACAGCAATGCATGGCGGGTACAATTAGTAATAAATAATAAATAAATACATCCTGCCTATCATATATTTACAAGACGATTCATAACAGTAGCAAAATTACAGTTATAAAGTAGCAACAAAAATAATTTTATGATTGGGGAGTCACTACAACATGAGGAACAATATTAAGGGGTCACGGCATTAGGAAGGCTGAGAATCATGGCTTTACATGGCTAAGAATAATCCCACTCCCTTCCACAGTCGTACAGCAAAAGGAAAGCAAAAAACAAAGCATTTCAATGCAGGAAAGATAGAGAAAGAGAGAGAGATCCCAGCAGGAGAGCCCAGCTGGTCATGCAAGAAGTTAAAAAATCACACAGAGAGGCAGATAATACAGAAAAATGTGTTGGATGAAAATGGGGGGAAATGTTACGGCCAAAGTAAAACAGCAAGTGGAAACTACGCTTGGCCAAACCGAAGCAGATAAACAGTACAGGACAATCCCCATCTCTATAGGACAAATATTTACTGTTTCATTTATCTACACCCAACAAAATATCCCCTCTGTTGGCTTGGTCTTGGTCCTCTGGCACAGTTCTGTGATCTTCTTGGGTGAATTGCTGTCGCTGCAAACCTCTCAGTGCAACCATTGGCATTTTCAGTAAACTGCAAGCCCTCCCTGTATTGTTTAATGCAAGGGACAACACCTTTTTGAGTACCAGAAATAAACACCAAACTGGGTTGTTGTAGGTTTTTCAGGCTGTATGGCCATGTTCTAGAAGCATTCTCTCTTGACGTTTCGCCTGCAGCTGTGGCAAGCATCCTCAGAAGTTGTGTGAATCTGTAGCAAGGATGCTTGCCACAGATGCAGGTGAAACGTCAGGAGATAATGCTTCTAGAACATGGCCATACAGCCCAAAAAACCTACAACAACCCAGTGATTCCAGCCATGAAAGCCTTCAACAATACATTAAACACTCAACTACCTTTGTTTGTTTGTTTGTTGTAGTGTTGCAATGTTTCTCCACCTGGGAATCGAGACCCCTGGGGGGGGGGTTACAAGGGGGGTGTCAGAGGGGTTGCCAAAGACCATCAGAAAACACAGTATTTTCTGAACTGGCTGTCGAAACTGGGGAGTGGGGTGAGCTCCTGCTGTAAGCCCCATCTTCTGTCAACCTAGCAGTTTAAAAACATGCAAATGTGAGTAGATCAATAGGTACCGCTTCGGCAGGAAGGTAACGTCACTCCATACAGTCATGCCGGCCACATATCCTTGGAGGTGTCTACGGACAATGCTGGCTCTTCAGCTTAGAAATGGAGATGAGCACCAACCCCCAGAGTCAGACATGACTCAACTTCATGTCAGGGGAAAACCTTTACCTTCACCTTTACTATATCTTTCCCGAAGGTGACTCAAAGTAGCTGTTGATGTTTCCATTGCCAGCCATGTCTACTCAAATATCCTGCTTCCAGCAATCCACGGGTTCTTATTGGACATCACAACAAACAGTGGTTTGTAGCTAACCATGGTTTGTAGCTAACAATAAGCCAGGGTTGGTAGTTAAGGTTTGTCCTTAAACCTCTGATTGTGTTCTAAACAAGTCACAACCAAGGGATTATTTTTTAGGGATTCTTACATTTGCTTGTTAAGGAGTTCACTCCACTTGATATCTAGATTTGCTTCTGAGATGTATGTAGCTTTATCATACCACCTTCCCAGCATTAAGGCTATCCTAGAGGTCTCTCTAGTGGTGCCAGAAGGAGACCCCAGATCACCCAGTTTGGTCTCCATTGCTTTCCCAGTAACCCACTGGGCTCACAACGTACTCAAGCAAATCCATCCTTCCACCCCTTCTTCATCCGTTTTCTCTTCTTCTCTCTTCTCGTCTTGTGCAGGTACCTGCGGACCATGTACTTGGGTCTTCAGAGCCGCTGGCAGTCAGAGCATCGCCGGCGCCACTTCTACTGGAGGATGATGTTTGAGAATGCGGACATTAGTATGCTGCGGCTGCTGGAGACCTTCCTGAAGAGCGCCCCGCAGCTGGTCTTGCAGCTGAGCATCATGGTGCACCAGAACTACATTGAGCCCTTGCAGGGTAAGTGGGCCCTTGGCAATTGCATCACCAAGTCACATCCAGCCTTGTTGACCTCAAAATCCAGTTCCCAGCTGCCACTTCCTTACTGGACATCACAATAAACCATGGTTTGTAGTTAGCCATGATTTATTCCTTACAGTTCAGGTAACAATATGAACAGTAGTGCTCCAAAAGTACATTAAGCCTTTGCAATTCCCTTGTTGGGTCACATCCTAAGAAATAAGGCCTGGAAAACTTCAAAAAAAGAATGCATGAACTGTCATTAAAAGTTGCTGAACTGCTGATGACCGGAGCCAAATGATTAACTTTTGGTGGAAAACAACATGTTTACATTACTGTAGACAATTCATAGAATCATAGAATCAAAGAGTTGGAAGAGACCTCATGGACCATCCAGTCCAACCTTCTGCCAAGAAGCAGGAATATTGCATTCAAATCACCCCTGACAGATGGCCATCCAGCCTCTGTTTAAAAGCTTCCAAAGAAGGAGCCTCCACTACACTCCAGGGCAGAGAGTTCCACTGCTGAACGGCTCTCACAGTCACGAAGTTCTTTTTCATGTTCAGATGGAATCTCCTCTCTTGTAGTTTGAAGCCATTGTTTCGTGTCCTAGTCTCCAGGGAAGCAGAAAACAAGCTTGCTCCCTCCTCCCTGTGGCTTCCTCTCACATATTTATACATGGCTATCATATCTCCTCTCAGCCTTCTTTTCTTTAGGCTAAACATGCCCAGCTCCTTAAGCCGCTCCTCATAGGGCTTGTTCTCCAGATTCTTTTTAAGTTAACTTAAGTCAACACAGTGGTTCAAACCAACATCAGTTAAGAAAAACTAACATCTATCCGGAACTGGTAGATTCAGCAAGTTTGAGCAACATCAACAAAAACATGCTACATAAGAGACACTTTACTATTCCAAAATTATTGTTGGGATTCAGCCTGTGTGTGAACCTGAGCCTGAATCTCTGATTGTATTGCCTAATGCTGATGTGAATGTTGATGTTAATGTTGTTGGGCCTAGTTTGGATGGTGAGGCTGAAGTGGTCAATGAGGATGAGGCTCAAGATGGAAACACTTTGGGCAGTAAAAATCCTACAGGCTTTGATTTAGAGGCTTCAAGGGAAAGGCCAAGTTCTCATGAGAAAGTTTCTGTCAGACCAAGAGAAGAAAATTCACTCCCTTTTCCTCCTGGCCCGAGCTTGCAAGATAACTTGACACCTGGTCAGGTCAATGATAACAGCTGCGGCTTGGAGATAAGCCAGAACCGCAGGGAGGCTCAATGTTTACGTAGGTCTGAGAGAATCTGACAACTGAAACCAAAGATTAGAGTTATCTGGAATTTTGAGATTTAAGAGTGCCCGTGAGGGGAATTTCCTCAGACCAAGCATCGTTTACTATCAAGTACGAAGCTCCTGGGTTTTCCAGTTTCCAGTGGTCTGATATCTAAGGGAATTTCTGGCTTCAAGTGAGATTAGCTGGGGGCTAATCTGGTCATGGATTTCTGTTGAGTGTTGTTTGGACATTACTGCTTTGGATTTTTTGCAAGCTTTCTGGACATTGCTGTTTGCTGTTCCATTTTGGCTTTTTTACCTTTGGACTTCAATCTATTTCACATTCATCTTTCAATAAAAAGGATTGTATTTTTCCTAAACCAAGGTGTGGTGTATTAATGACAAGAGGGCCCTGTTTCCAGCTCTGGAGGGCAACAGTTGTGGCAGACTGGAAGAGTATGGTCTTTCTGTCATCTTCTCCAAGGGACAGAGAGAGAGAGAGGGTGTATTCACAAAATGACAGATTTGTTGAGAATGCTATCTGACCTACATGCAGGAGAAGGGAGAAGGGATGGTAATGTATGCGTGTAATGTATGCGTCTGAATGCTGAGCAAAATGTAATTCCCCTTTGTGTGTGCACCCAGTGTAGCTACATATATAGTGTATGTGTCTAGCTTCTTTCTCTTTAAAGTACCGAATACTTTGTCTCACTGTGAACAAAATAAAGGAAACTTTTAATGTACTTTCAAGTTTTGAAAGTATTCATGATGGCCATTCCTCTGATCCTAACCCCCTTCTATGCCTTTTTTCCTCCTTGTCGACCCGGACAGGTCTCTCGGCCTCGGCCTCCTTGGTCTCACTCGCCTGGACACTGGCCTCGTACCAGAAGGTGCTGCGGGACTCGAGGGAGGACAAGCTGCCCATGTCCTACAAAGGGGCAATGGTGCAGATCCTGTGGCACCTCTTCACCATCGCTGCCCGAGCCATCGCCTTCGCCCTCTTTGCCTCTGTGTTCCAGCTCTACTTCGGCATCTTCATCGTCACCCACTGGTGCATCATGACCTTCTGGATCATCCAAGGCGAGACGGATTTCTGCATGTCCAAGTGGGAGGAGATCATCTACAACATGGTGGTGGGCATCATCTACATCTTCTGCTGGTTCAACGTCAAGGAGGGGCGCAGCCGGTGCCGCATGTCCATCTACTACATCATCACCTTGTCGGAAAATGCCGCCATGACAGGGCTCTGGTACTGGCACCGGAATGAGAGCATCTCTGAGTCCAACGCCTTAATCATCGTCTGTGTTGTCACCTCCAGCTTCGCCTTAGGTGTCTTCTTCATGTTCATCTACTACTGCCTCTTGCACCCTAACGGAACCATTTTCGCCACACAGAGCACGGGGTGCATGTGCCGAGAGGAGGCCACCGCTGTACCAGGTGGCGCTGGGGACGTGGTCACCAGCCCCCCGCGCTCCTTGCCGAGGACTACAGGGGCTGAGAGGGAGGGGGTCCCTGGAGACAGAGACAGCTGCGTGCCGGTCTTCCAAGTCCGGCCCAGTGTGCCCCCCACCCCCATGCCCCGCGCCCCACGGACAGAGGGCCCCGTCATCCGTATTGACTTGCCCCGCAAGAAATACCCCGCCTGGGACGCCCACTTCATTGACCGGCGCCTCCGGAAGACTATCCTGGCGCTGGAGTACAGCTCACCCACCACGCCGCGGTTGCAGTACCGCAGTGTGGGGGCCTCGCAGGAGCTGCTGGAGTACGAGACCACTGTGTAAAAAGGAAAGAAAGAACACAAAATGGGTGAAGCTCCTGGCCCTGAGTGTCAGGGTCCCTTTCCCGAATGTGGGGTGACCCAGGCTTGGCTTCTGAGCAGCCGAGGCAAATGGGCTACAGGATCGGTTCTCTGGTCTATGGGGGGCAAGAGGGTCGGGGGCCGCCACAGCAGCTGGCTGCACCCCCGCCTCTCATTAGCAATTTTGATTCGTTGTTCCTCCCTGTACCGCACTGAAGACCTCCGACTACCCTCCCGTCTTTTCCTCCTCTCCCAGGTGGGCTACAATTCTGGTGCTACTTTCCCTCTACTTGGTCAACGGGCTAGGGAAACGAGGCTACCGTCTTTCCCCAATTTACCCCAGGTGGATCCTCACCCTATCTCAAACGCCATGCAAGAGACGCGGTGCCCCACGTGTGCCCCTGTTTGCTCTGACAAAGCGGTGGCAACGGTCTCTCCCCAAATACCTCACCTGTTACCTGAGCCAGGTAGCCGAGGCCTCTCGTTTGGAGTCCATGGGTTTCTGCTATTTAAGAGCCATCACTGTAAAGGGCTGGCAGGGAAAGGGAGGGGTCCTTGTGGGGAAGCTTCGTTTAAAGTCGCAGCGTTAATTGCCAGATTCCAGCGGAGTGAGGACAAGGTGATAAGCATGTCCCACTGGGAAAGCACAGCGAGGGAGGATTTTCCATGCAGGACATCAGATCTAGTGCTCGGAAAAGAGAAATAATGCAGTACTCTTGGTTTTACTACCACTCTTTTCCCATTCCTGCAGGAAAAACAGGTGCTTTGGAACTAAAGGGTGCATCCACACAACACAATTATAGCACTATGATACCACTTGACGTGCCACAGCTCCAACCTGGGATGAATACTTTCAGAAGGTGCTTAGAATTTTTTTGCTGCAGTCCAAGAGAGTGCATTAAAGAACTACAAATCCCATAGCCATCCAAGGGGCATCGATATCCTATTTCTGTGTACTGTGGATACCTCCCAAGTGACATACCACATGACACAGGGTGCATCTACACTATTGAATTAATGCAGTTTGGCACCCTGTTAACTCCCACGACTCCGTTGTAAGGAATCAGGGGAACTCTGGTTTTATAAGATCTTTAGCACTCTTGGCCAAAGAGTGTTGGTGCCTCGCCAGACTACAACTCTCAGGGTTCTGTAGCATTGAGCCGTGGTAGTTAAAGTGCTATCGAACTGGATTCATTCTGTAGTGTAGATGCACCCACCGTTATAGCACTTTGGACCTGCTTTGACCTGCTGTGACTCCATTATATGGAATTCTGGGATTTATAGTTTTTGAGGAGCACTAGAAAATAATTCTCAACACCTTGCAGAACTACAAGTCATAGAATCAAAAGTTGGAAGAGATCTCATGGGTCATCCAGTCCAATCCCATTCTGCCAAGAAGCAGGAATATTGCATTCAAAGCACACCTGACAGATGGCCATCCAGCCTCTGATTAAAAGCTTCCAAAGAAGGAGCCTCCACCACACTCCGGGGCAGAGAGTTCCACTAATGAACGGCTCTCACAGTCAGGAAGTTCTTCCTCATGGTCAGATGGAATCTCCTCTCTTGTAGTTTGTAGTCCCAGAAGCCCATAGAGTACTCGAAGTGATATCAAAGCCCTACAATCTTATGAGAATGGAAAGACCTATGGATAGCTATGCTATACATTCCTGGTACTAGTCATCTGCATGTCTAAGGATGATGGGAGTGGTGGTTGGTAGGGGAAAATAGGACAAGTGTAAATTGCTCGCCTCCCTATGTTTGTTTGTTTAAATACGTGTTTGTAAAAAAAAGAATAATATTGACACTGAGGGCTTCCAGAAAGAGTGGGTCTGACCTTAAACCGAATAGGTCGAAGAGGTGTTTTAAACTTCAGAGGGATTCTGGGAGTTGTAGTCCCCTCTCCCCCAAAAGGTAACATGTGCAGGTTTTAGGATGCCAAGCCTCTCTAATATACCTTGCAACTTTACCTTGGGTTTTATACTACATTATCTTCCCAAAAGAGGAGTGTGAATGTGTGAGTATGTGTGTGTAATATTCTATGATCCCTGTATCCACTGTTTTGTTTATCCACACCCAACAAAATATGGCTCAGTGCTGTGGAATCATGGAAGCTGTAGTTGGGTCCACATATATGTTGCAGGTCCAGATATCATAGAATCCTAGAGTTGGAAGAGACCTCATGGGCCATCCAGTCCAACCCCATTATGCCAAGAAGCAGGAAAATTGCATTCAAAGCACCCCTGACAGATGGCCATCCAGCCTCTGTTAAAAGCTTCCAAAGAAGGAGCCTCCACCACACTCCAGGGCAGAGAGTTCCACTGCTGAACAGCTCTCACAGTCAGGAAGTTCTTCCTAATGTTCACATGGAATCTCCTTTCTTGTAGTTTGAAGCCACTGTTCCGTGTCCTAGTCTCCAGAGCAGCAGAAAACAAGCTTGCTCCCTCATAGAATCCTAAGAGTTGGAAGAGACCTCATGGGCCATCCAGTCCAACCCCTGCCAAGAAGCAGGAATATTGCAGTCAAAGCACCCAACAGATGGCCATCCAGCCTCTGTTTAAAAGCTTCCAAAGAAGGAGCCTCCACCACACTCCGAGGCAGAGAGTTCCACTGCTGAACAGCTCTCACAGTCAGGAAGTTCTTCCTAATGTTCAGATGGAATCTCCTTTCTTGTAGTTTGAAGCCATTATTCCATTGCATTCTAGTCTCCAGAGCAACAGAAAACAAGCTTGCTCCCTCCTCCCTGTGACTTCCTTTCACATATTTATACGTGGCTATCATGTCTCCTCTCAGCCTTCTCTTCTTCAAGCCAAACATGCCCAGCTCTTTAAGCCGCTCCTCATAGTGCTTGTTCTCCAGACCCTTGATCATTTGAGTCGCCTCCTCTGGATACCTTCCAGCTTGTCAACATCTCCCTTCAATTGTGGTGCCCAGAATTGGACACAATATTCCAGGTGTGGTCTGACAAAGGCAGAATAGAGCATGGGGAGCATGACTTCCCTGGATCTAGGCACTATACTCCTATTGATGCAGGCCAAAATCCCGTTGGCATATCTTTGTCCCTAACAGTTCAAACATCCATAGAGCACAGTAGGGTTTACTTTTGACACGGATATACCCTACAACTGTTCCAATTTGGCAGAGACTGTGCCCATTAATCCTCTGATTGCAAATTTCTAGCCTGTCTATGGAGATTTCATTGCACACATACGGTAGCGAAATTCCGACAGAGGACAGAGAAAAGGCATAACGACTCATCCCCTTCTTTGCCTCAGTCTTTCTCTCAAAAGGCAAACAGGGCTCCCTTTGGAGCAGAGCATGTCATAGTAGAGGAAATGCAGCACATAATAGGTTTATTTATTTATTCAGGAGTGAATCCAAACAGTTGTATTACATTAAAAAACAGACAAACAAACAAACAAAACACAAAATTTGCAGACTTGGTATTCTATTAAATGTCCTTTGACCAGTATCTGGCCACTTGGAGTGCCTCTGGTGTTGCCGCAAGAAGGTCCTCCATTGTGCATGTGGCAGGGCTCAGGTTGCATTGCAGCAGGTGGTCAGTGGTTTGCTCTTCTCCACACTCACATGTCATGGATTCCACTTTGTAGCCCCATTTCTGAAGGTTGGCTCTGCATCTCGTGGTGCCAGAGCGCAGTCTGTTCAGCGCCTTCCAAGTCGCCCAGTCTTCTGTGTGCCCAGGGGGGAGTCTCTCATTTGGTATCAGCCATTGATTGAGGTTCTGGGTTTGAGCCTGCCACTTTTGGACTCTCGCTTGCTGAGGTGTTCCAGCGAGTGTCTCTGTAGATCTTAGGAAATATTTCTTGATTTAAGCCGTTGATGTGCTGACTGATACCCAAACAAGGAATGAGCTGGAGATGTCCCTGCTTTGGTCCTTGTACTATTGGCTGCTACTTCCCGGCGGATGTCAGGTGGTGCAATACCGGCCAAACAGTGTAATTTCTCCAGTGGTGTAGGGCGCACACACCACGTGATAATGCGGCATGTCTCATTAAGAGCCACATGCACTGTTTTAGCGTGGCGAGATATGTTCCACACTGGGCATGCATACACAGCAGCAGAGTAGCATAGTGCAAGGGCAGATGTCTTCACTGTGTCTGGTTGTGATCCCCAGGTTGTGCCAGTCAGCTTTCGTATGATATTGTTTCTGGCGCCCACTTTTTGCTTGATGTTCAGGCAGTGCTTCTTGTAGGTCAGAGCACGGTCCAGAGTGACTCCCAGGGATTTGGGTGCGCTGCAATGCTCCAGTGGGGTTCCTTCCCAGGCGATCCTCAGAGCTCGGGATGCTTGTCTGTTCTTAAGGTGAAAGGCACATGTCTGTGTTTTGATGGATTAGGGATCAGCTGTTTTCCCCTGTAATAGGCAGTAAGAGCACCTAGAGCTTCGGAGAGGTAAAGAGGCAGCACAGGAATACCTAGCTAATCTAAATGTATTCAAGTCCCCAGGGCCAAATGAGCTACATCCAGTAATATTGCAGGAACTAGCAGAAGGTATTTCAGAACCATTAGCAACAATCTTTGACGATTCTTGGAGGAGAAGTCCCAGCAGAATTTGGCAGAGACGGTCCCATTTAATCTTGTTATCCCACTTTTAATTGGAAATCCCAACTAAATCCTCTGCCATCCCATTTTTTCAGTTGATTTTAAAAGTTCCTGGTTTCTCTCTCTTCCTCCCTTTATCCTCAGCGTATTTCCATTGCTGCAAACTAGGGTCCACAGTGCAAAAGTAGCTTGCATGCAATTAAGTTGAGACGGGAAGAGGAAGGGGCAACATTTTCCATCTGTGAAATGGTGGCTATTTCGGCAATCGCTCCAACAATTATCCATCTCTTTGCAGCCCTTGGATGACATTGTCCGGCGGATTGGTGCTAAAGCTCCGCTGACGGAGAGCCATCTTGGGTCCTAAGGCTGTTGTCATGGTGCTGATAACATCTTCTTTTAAAATCTTCCCAAAATAGGTGGTCCGACATACGGTATTACTCACTCCTATCTCAAAATAGAAAAAAAATGCCTGTCATGTTGTGAGAGGTGCTAAATGCAAGGAGGGGGCCTGGGAGGGAAAGCCTTTCAATAATCTGCCACTAGGGATACATCTGCACTGGAGAAGGAATCAGTGTGGTTTGACACCACTTTAACTCCCATGGATCAGTGTCGTTGACATCCGACTTAGCTCAGATACCTGATTGACATAGCCCGCCCTGGCCCAGAACTCCTGAGCTCATGTCCATAGTCCACATCATGTACTTACTATCTAGATCAGGGGTCCTCAAACTTTTTAAGCAGAGGGCCAGGTCGCAGTCTCTCAAACTGTTGGAGGGCCGGATTATAATTTGAAGAAAAAAAATGAATGAATTCCTATGCACACTGCACATATCTTAGTTGTTTTGCAAAAAACCACTTCAAAAAATACAATAATTGCGTTGTTGTAGGTTTTTTCGGGCTATATGGCCATGTTTTAGAGGCATTTTCTCCTGACGTTTTGCCTGCATCTATGGCAAGCACCCTCCGAGGTAGTGAGGTCTGCTGGAACTAGGAAAGAGGGTTTATATATCTGTGGAATGACCAGGGTGGGACAAAGGACTCTTGTCCGCTGGAGCCAGGTGTGACTGTTTCAACTGACCACCTTGATTAGTATTTAATGGCCTGGCAGTGCCTGGGGCAATCTTTTGTTAAGAGGTGATTCGATGTGCCTGATTGATTTGATGTGCCAGACCATCAATCATAGAATCAGAATCAAAGAGTTGGAAGAGACCTCATGGGCCATCCAGTCCAACTCCCTGCCAAGAAGCAGGAATATTGCATTCAAATCACCCCTGACAGATGGTCATCCAGCCTCTGTTTAAAAGTTTCCAAAGAAGGAGCCTCCATCAAATGCTAATCAAGGTGGTCAGTTGAAACATTCACACCTAGCTCCAACAGACAAGAGTTCTTTGTCCCACCCTGGTCATTCCACAGATATATAAACCCATTTTCCTAGTTCCAACAGTCACTTCTGGTGTGAGAGAATTGCCCAGGGGACACCCAGATGGGTTACCATCCTGTGGGAGGCTTCTCTCATAACCCCGCATGGGAAGTTGGAGCTGACAGACAGAAGCGCATCTTGTTTCGTGGATTCGAATTGCCGACCTCCAGGTCAGCAGTTCAGCCGGCACAAGGGTTTAACCCATTGCACCACTGTGGCTCTGATGTAATAATAGGAGGATGGTGTCTAGATGGAAGGATAATCATAGAACCCATTGTATTCTGCTTTGTTCGCGGCTCCCCTGGAATAATAACCCTGCTTCCAGTTTTGAGTGCTGCCGTTCAAGAAGAATACGGTGTCAAACTGCATTAATTCCAACTACCTTCCTTTCACCTCGTAATAGTCGCCCCTATAGTTTGACATGGTGTAGATGCACCCTTAAGACAGCAAAGGGGTTGATATAAATTAGGGGTGGAAAGATCTGCCCGGCCACTCTCTATGCACTCTTTAGCCACGGTTTCTCCTCTCGGCCTTTGAGTCTGGGAGTCCTCAACACCTTTGCAATAATCTCAAAAGAGCTGCTCTCAAAATGCAAAGCTTCGGCCGCTCAGGTTTCTCTTCCCCAAACGTAGGTTTTGGATATAGGTGCAGGAAGGTGTATCCATAGGTCTCCATGTCAAAAGATGGGTGCGACTATTAAGAGGTGAAATGAAGGTAGTTGAAACAATGCCCCTCGCTGACCTGCAACAGGTTGAAAGTCAGAACAGTGGGTTGGAGCATCTAACTTAGGTTTTGGATATAGGTGCAAGAAGGTGTATCCATAGGTCTCCATGTCAAAAGATGGGTGCGACTATTAAGAGGTGAAATGAAGGTAGTTGAAACAATGCCCCTCGCTGACCTGCAACAGGTTGAAAGTCAGAACAGTGGGTTGGAGCATCTAACTTAGGTTTTGGATATAGGTGCAAGAAGGTGTATCCATAGGTTTCCATGTCGAAAGATGGGTGCGACTATTAAGAGGTGAAAGGAAAGTAGTTGTAACAATGCCCCTCGCTGCCCTGCAACACGCCGCTCGGGTTTCTCTTCCCCAGACTTAGGTTTTGGATATAGGTGCAGGAAGGTGTATCCATAGGGCTCCATGTCGAAAGATGGGTGCGACTATTAAGAGGTGAAAGGAAGGTAGTTGTAACAATGCCCCTCGCTGACCTGCAACAGGCCGCTCAGGTTTCTCTTCCCCAAACATGTTTTGGATATAGGTGCAGGAAGGTGTATCATGTCGAAAGATGGGTGCGACTATTAAGAGGTGAAAGGAAGGTAGTTGAAACAATGCCCCTCGCTGCCCTGCAACAGGCCGTTCAGGTTTCTCTTCCCCAAACTTAGGTTTTGGGTATAGATACAGGAAGGTGTATCCATAGGGCTCCATGTCGAAAGATGGGTGCGACTATTAAGAGGTGAAAGGAAAGTAGTTGAAACAATGCCCCTCGCTGATCTGCAACTGGTTGGAAGTCAGAGTAGTGGGATGGAGCATCTATCTATAGGTGCATCGACACCAGGCATGGGCCAACTTGGGCCCTCCAGGTGTTTTGGACCCAACCCACAATTCCTAACAGCCTACCAGCTGTTAGGAATTGTGGGAGTTGGAGTCCAAAACACCTGGAGGGCCCAAGTTGGCCCATGCCTAGTATAGACTCATATCAAACTGCAAGATGGAGTTTTTATGTTCTCCTATCCTTCCCAATTCTTGTCCCTAGTGTCCTCAAAAATGAAAATGTTGGTCTGAGTTCGAGACCTCATGTTGATTTCCAATACTGTGTGCTGTTCTGGGTTCAAGTTTGGTCAAGATTGAAGACTGAAATACTGAATTCCAATGATGTGAGCTTGTTCTATGTCCCAAGATTAGTCTGGGTTCGATGCCGAAATGTTGACTTTTCATGCCAGGTGCCTGTTCTGGGTTCAGGTTGGTTGCGTTTTGTCGAAGTCTGAATCTACACTGCCATATAATTTAGATAATCTGCATTCTCTGCTTTGAACTGGATTATATGCGTCTACACTGCCCTATAATCCAAAGCAGATAGTCTGGATTTTAATATGAGAGTGTAGAAGGGGCCCTAAGGCAGGATCTATGCTGCCATATAATCCAGATTATCAAATCAGATATTCCACATTATCTGCATTGAACTGGATTATGTGAGTCAACACTGCCCTATAATTCAGTTCAAAGCAGATGATCTGGATTTCATATGACAACGTAGAAGGGGCCCTAAGGCTGCATCTACACTGCTATATAATCCAGATTATAAAATCAGTCCACATTATCTGCTTTGAACTGGATTATGTGCGTCTACACTTCCCTATAATCCAGTTCAGAGCAGATAGTCTGGATTTTATATGACAATGTAGAAGGGGCCTTAAGGCTGGATGTATAGTGCCATATAATCCAGATTACCAAATCAGATAGTCCACATTATCTGCTTTGATTTGGATTATATGAGTCCACACTGCCCTATAATCCAGTTCAAAGCAGACGATCTGGATTTTATATGACAGTGTAGACAGATCTGGCCTAAGAAGGCAGTGTGTAGGAGGGCATGGATTTGGTATCGACCGCATATATATGCTGGGTATGCTTTGGACAAATGCGTGTTTGCAGTGCGTAATGCCATTTATTTAACAAGACAGACAGACAGACCGGCACAGATACAGATACGAAATGGGAGAAATAAATAAAAGGACATTGGAAAGCTACCACGTGCTGAATTGTGAACCGTTTGGTGTTTGGTTCTACTGAGCAATTCTTTCCGGATGACAATGTAGTAGCCGGACTCCCTTCCCCAAACGCCTCTGCCCTGTTTTTCCCTCCCCTTTCCTCCCGAAATCTGTGATCTGGTCCACAAACAAACCATAAACCTTGTACATAAGTCAAGTGCGCCTTCTTCTAGGGACTCGGCATCCAGAGCTGAAGAAGGAGGCCAAGGTTCTCTACCAAGACTCTTTTTGTATACCACAAACTTTTTGTATATTTTTAATTCTGCTGCAACATGATATTAAATTCATTTCAATTAAAAAAAAACAACAACAACCATCTCGCCTTTCTTTGCCTTTCCTCCTGTGTCTTTCATTCACCTTGTGTGACGAATTCCATAGCTTTGGGACATGATATTATATGCGAGGGTTGAATGAAAAGAAATGCCTCCACCTTCGTAAATCATCGACAGATGGCAGTACTGGTGTGCGGCAGGTACTGGCTTGTTCAGTAGACTCTTCTCTGCAGTTCCATTTGGGCGGGAAGCCTTCCTATTGAACGGTTGTGTTGTTAAAGTGCGAAGTATGGAACTGTGTGCAGACCGTCTGTCAATGCGACTTAAGCAACGTGCAGTCATTGAATTCTTGACATCAGAAGGTGTCACCCCAAAGGGGATTCACTACCAATGATGGAATTGAACCAAACTTGACATACAGAACTCCCACAGCCAACAGAGTTTGGTGGCCATTGATCTTGAGTTTTGGAGTTGTAGTTCACCTACATCCAGAGAGCACTGTGGACGCAAACAATGATGGATCTGGACCAAACTTGGCACTTATACTCAACATACACAAATGGGAACACTGGTGGAGTTTTGGGTTTCCGAGATTTATAGTTCACCGACAATCAAAGATAATCCTGAACCCCACCAATGATAGAATTGGGCCGAACTTCCCACACAGAACCCCCATGATCAACAGAAAATACTGTGTTTTCTGATGGTCTTTGGTGACCCCTCTGACACCCCCTCACAACCCCCCTAGGATACTGATCTAGGCCATCTTGTAGTCAATGGCATGTATTCCAATTATATTATTGCACTGCGCCATCTCCAAAAGCCTGATCCCAAAGCCAGGTTTTTACTCTCCTTCTGAAGGCTAGGAGGAAGGGGGCTGATCAAATGTCACTGGGGAGGGAATTCCACAGCTGAGGAGCCACCACGGAGAAGGCCCTGTCTCTCATCCCAACCAGTCGTGCCTGCGAGGGGGGTGGGATTGAGAGCAGGGCCTCCCCAGAAGATCTTAATGAGGCCAGGAATTGTGGCAGTTGAAGTCCAGAACACCTGGAGGGCCAACATTTGCCCAAGCCTGATCTATAGGAATAACAGCCTTACATCAGAATAAGAGACACTGAACCTGTTTAACTTGAGTGCAATAAGTTGTGGGAGTTGAAATCCAAAACACCTGGAGGGCCAAAGTTGACCCATGCCTGGGATAAGGGATACCAAACCTGTATGAGTTAAACACAATAAACAAATAATCTGTGAAAGTGCCTTCTCCGGACTCTAACCCATTCTGGGGTGATGACTGCTGGGCCCTTTGCATGTTGTCCCCTTCCTCCTCCATCCATGGGCTTCTCAGTGCCAGAGGGCAGGAAGAACTCTCTCAGTCTGGTCTGACATCAGGGCCATTGGTTGTTGTTTCTTTGGCCGCTGGTGGAGTTTCCGACCCAACAGGATGGGGAAACAAAGGATGGAGGGCGGAGAGGAAAAGCTGCCTTCCTGGGGACGGCCGGAGCCCGGCGACGAGGACGGGACATGGAGTATGAAGCCAAGAAGGGGAAGAAGGTATGTACGTTGTGGAGATGGGGGATTTGTGCTGCTTTGCAGGGGTCTGTCTGTGGGTTTGTGTCTTGTACATATTCAGCATGCAACATTGGTTCCTATTACTGGGTTGTTGTTGGTTTTTGGGCTGTTTGGCCAAGTTCTAGAAGCGTTCTCTCCTGACGTTTTTGCCTGCATCTATGGCAGGCATCCTCAGAGGTTGTTCAGACCTCACAATCTCTGAGGACACCTGCCATAGATGCAGGCAAAACATCAGAAGAGAATGCTTCTGGATCATGGCCATACAGCCTGAAAAACTCACGACAACCCAGTGAGTCCGGCCATGAAAGCCTTCGACAACTTAACCTTGTTGAGGAAGCAATGCATGACCCATAGGAAGTACCAAAGGGAAAGCTGCAAGCTGGAATGAGTAGATGCAAGCGAAACGACAGGAGAGAATGCTTCTGGATCATGGCCATACAGCCTGAAAAACTCACGACAACCCAGTGAGTCCGGCCATGAAAGCCTTCGACAACTTTCCCTGAGTTAACCTCGTTGAGGAAGCAATGCATGACCCATAGGAAGTACCAAAGGGAAAGCTGCAAGCTGGAATGAGTAGATGCAGGCGAAACGTCAGGAGAGAATGCTTCTGGATCATGGCCATACAGGCCGAAAAACCTGCAACAACCCAGTGATTCTGGCCATGAAAGGCTTTGACGGTTCCTGTTACCTATGGGGTAGAAAATAGACCTTTAGATGGTGTAGATCTCCAGAAATTGCTACTCTATCATTCCTATCAGCCCCAATACTAGCATAGCCAAACGTGAAATATTTGCAATAATGACTAGGAGACTGATAGGAATTGTGATCCATAAACATCTGAATGCCCGATTGATTTTCATCTTGGCCTAACCTGTAATTATTATCCAAGAGAATACATCTTTAAACAACTTTAGAATGATTCAGTTTTGGTGGAAGTGGGCCTTAGAATCAAAGCACTCCCGACAGATAGCCATCCAGCTTCTGTTTAAAAGCCTCCAAAGAAGGAGCCTCCAGTTCTTCCTAATGTGGTCAGTTTTGGGTGGAAGTGGGCCTTAGAGTCATGTTAGACAACCTAAAAATGCCCAAAGAGAATAATAGAATTCTAGAGTTGGAAGAGACCTCTTGAGCCATCCAGTCCAAACCCATTCTGCCAAGAAGCAGGAAAATCGCATTCAAAGCACCCCCGATAGATGGCCATCCAGCCTCTGCTTCAAAGCCTCCAAAGAAGGAGCCTCCACCACACTCCGAGGCAGAGTTCCATTGCTGAACAGCTCTCACAGTCAGGAAGTTGTTCCTCATATCCAAGTGGAATCTCCTTTCGTGTAGTTTACAAGCCATTGTTCCATTGCGTCCTAGTCTCCAGGGCAGCAGAAAACAAGCTTGCTCCCTTCTCCCTATGACTCCCCCTTACATATTTATACATGGCCATCATGTCTCCTCTCAGCCTTCTAAACATGCCCAGCTCTTTAAGCCGCTCCTCATAGGATGCGTTCTCCAGACCCTTGATCATTTTAGTAGCCCTCCTCTGGACACATTCCAGCTTAGAGTCAATATCGCTCTTCAATTGTAGTGCCCAGAATTGGACAAAATATTCCAGGTGTGATCAAGCCATGACAGAATAGAGCATGGGAAGCATGACTTCCTTGGATCTAGACACTAGGCTCCTATTGATGCAGGCCAAAATCCCATTAGCTTTTTTTGCTGCCGCATAACATAGCTGGTTCATATTCACCTTCCTCCCCACGAGGACTCCCAAGATCTTTTCCCCATCTCCTGCTCTCGAGCCAGGCATCATCGTCCCCCGTTCTGTCTCTTTGCATTTCATTTTGTCTACCTAAGTGGAGTCTCTTGCATGTGTGCCTGTTGAACTTCATTTTGTTAATGTTGACCAATCATCTCTCTAATCTGTCCAGATCATTTTGAATTCTGCTCCTGTCTTCTGGGGTATTGATTATCCCTCCCAATTTGGTGTTGTCTGCAAACTTGATGATTCTTCCTTCTAATCCTTCATCTAAGTCATGAATAAAGATGTTTTGCATTTTTTAACAGACAAACCAACCAAAAAACAAAACACAAAGTTTGCAAGCTTGGTAATTGATTAAATGTCCTTTGACCAGTAGCTGGCCACTTGAAGTTCCTCTGGTGTTACTATAAGAAGGTCCTCCATTGTGCATGTGGCAGGGCTCAGGTTGCAATGCAGCAGGTGGTCTGTGGTTTGCTCTTCTCCACACTCGCATGTCGTGGATTCCACTTTGTGGCCCCATTTCTTAAGGTTGGCTCTGCATCTCGTGGTGCCAGAGCGCAGTCTGTTCAGCGCCTTCCAAGTCGCCCAGTCTTCTGTGTGCCCAGGGGGGAGTCTCTCATTTGGTATCAGCCATTGATTGAGGTTCTGGGTTTGAGCCTGCCACTTTTGGACTCTCGCTTGCTGAGGTGTTCCAGTGAGTGTCTCTGTAGATCTTAGAAAACTCTTTTTTGATTTAAATCATTGACGTGCTGGCTGATACCCAAACAAGGGATGAGCTGGATCACTGCCTTGGTGACAAACTTGAAGAACACCATAATCAACACCATAAATCCCCAAAGGATGCTTTTGGCAAACTACAATTGTTGAGCAATGCTAGAGTAAAACAATGCTCTCTGCACATGCTCAGAAACCTGTCCTTGTCTAAGGCTAACAGAGACCAAAACCTGATTCCAGAATTGACCTGACAGCCTTTTCATCTCATCTCTTTCATCCTGGATTTCAGAGTGCATCTACACAGCAGAATGAATGCAGTTTGACATCAGTTTAACTGTCTGGGCTCAATGCTTTGGAATCATGGGAACTGTGGAAAGGTCTTTACCTTTCTCTGCTCAAAGAGTGCAGTTGCCTCACCAAACCACAACTTCTAGGATTCAATAGCATTGAGCTACGGCGGTCAAAAGTGTTGCAAAACTGGATTAATTCTACAGTGCAGATGCATCCTGAACGACTCAAGTGGAGGAAAAGAGATAGGCATTGCTACTCCCCACCTGTTTCCAGCTCTGGGGATTATACATGCATGGCAGTGTAGGTCCAGTCTTAGTTGACCACAAGCTGAACATGAGTTTAATAGTGTGATGCAACAGCTTAGAAGGCCAGCGTTATTCTCGGCTGTATCAGTATCCAGATTGAGAGGAGTTTTAGGCCCCTTCTACACAGCTATATAAAATCCAGATTATGTGCTTGGATCTGGATTATACGAGTCTACACTGCTATATAATGCCATACACTGGATTATATGGCAGTATTTATTTATTTATTTATTTACTTTACTTGTATACCGCAGTTTCTCAGCCTAACAGGCGACTCAACGCGGTTTACAACAAAGGTACAACAGTCAACAATATACAATTTAAAACCATAAAAGCATAATACACAATATTGACACAACAATAACAACCCAATGCATCTCATGACTAAAATCGTGATCCAGTTTCGTCGTCCATATTACCATTCCTGTAATCATCACATTCATTGCACCGATTAACCAAATGCCTGTTCGAACATCCAGGTTTTTAATCTTCGGAACACCATTAGCGAGGGAGCTGATCTTACCTCCATGGGAAGGGCGTTCCACAGCCGCGGGGCCACCACAGAAAAGGCCCTGTCTCTCGTCCCCGCCAGCCGCACCTGTGAAGCAGGCGGGATAGAGAGTAGGGCCCCCCCAGAAGATCTTAGGGTCCTGGTGGGCCGATAGGCCGAGATACGTTCAGATAGGTAAGTTGGGCCAGAACCGTTTAGGGCTTTAAAGGCCAACGCCAGCACTTTGAATTGAGCCTGGTAGCAGATCGGCAGCCAGTGGAGCTGGTGCAGCAGAGGAGTTGTATGCTCCCTGCGCTCCGCTCCTGTTAGTATCATGGCTGCCGAGCGTTGGACTAATTGGAGCTTCCGGGCCGTCTTCAAAGGCAACCCCACGTAGAGAGCGTGCAGTAGTCTAAACGGGATGTAACCAGATCGTGGACTACCGTGGCCAAGTCAGACTTCCCAAGGTATGGGTATCCCAGTATAGACACATATAATCCAGTTCAAAGCAGATAATGTAGATTATCTGCTTTAATAATATGGATTATATGCCAGTGTAGAAGGGGCCACAGTCTCACTCTCTTCTGCTTTGGTCAGATCTCACTTGGAATAATTCTGTGGCCCCTCCAACACTGTCCTTCTACACTGTCCTTATCTATCCCAGTATGCCGTCGCGCAATCCCCTGGGGGCTATAACTCTTAGTGAAAGAGACATAGACGTGACATCTTTCCCCCAGGGGATTGCTTCTTGCCTTCCTTTAAGAACTGGAACTCCCAAGGACCAAAACACTGTAGATAACTCAAAATAGGTTTTATTGTTCACAAAGAGTTATCCCTTTAAGGCAATAAGCTGGAAGTTTCAAAGGGGTAAAGGAAATATACATTACAGTCTCTGGTTGTCTTGGGTCCAAGGAGATTTCGCAGCTGAGAAGCTTTTCCTGTTCCCTCTTTTCTCAATGGCTGCGAAGGTCGGAACAAACACAACCCCCAGTCCAATGGCCTATGTTGAAGGCACAGAGTCTTCCTTTTGATGCCAAAGGACCGGTTTGAAGGTGCTTGGGTCTCCTCAACGTTGTCCAGGGCGATCTGGATGAAGTATGAGTCCCAAGGGTAAAAACCTTAGAATTGGTGATGAGAGGTAACTTAATTAAGGGCTTTAGAGCCAAGTCTCTTTCTCACATCTATCTGATAGAAAGTTTGATGGTAGAATGGAAAAGGAAAAGCTCTGCCCTCCTCCAGGAAGAGGTGGAGCCAAGCAATTGAGCTGAGGAAGCAATATAACTGGTGCAAACAACATTGATTGACAGCTATAAATAACCAATCAATCCAACTATACATTTACAAAGTAAGCAAGCATGGGCATGTTATACAGTTTAAACCTTTGCACTTTAAAGTTCTACACACAGGTGGCGCCACTCGCGCTGTCACACCCAGGATCTGATCCCAGATTTTCATCTTATCCCAGATTATCTGGTAGTGGAGAGGCATGTAATCCAGTTCAAATCAGATAACCTGGGATTATATCCTGATATATAGGGCCAGCATATAAGGGGCTTGGGTCTGGTTCTGGGCAGCGCAATTCAAGTAGAACTGGGTTGGACTAGATGTCCTTTGGGGACCCTCTTCCAACTCCTGGAAACTCCTAGGAGTGTAGTATCCAGACCTCTTCTACACTTCCCTATAATCCAGATTATCGAAGCAGATAATGCACATTATCTGCTAGAAATTGAATTATATGAGTCTACACTAGACCAGATAATCTATTTCAAAGCAAATGATCTGGATTTTATATTGCAGTGTAGAAAGGACCCTAGTCTCACTCTCTTCTACTTTGGTCAGACTTCATCTGGAATAATAACCCTGTGTCCTGATCAGGGCAAAGCAATTCAAGAGGGACTGGGGTTGGACTAGATGTCCTTTGGGGATCCTTTTCCAACTCCAAGACAAGCCACCTTCAGGCGATGTCCAGCTGTCAGGCCAGACTCCTGGCCAAATTGCCACCAGCCAGTCCTGAGACCAGCATGTCAACTCGGCTCCCTTGGCTGCCGCTCATCAGACAAAATGGAGACATTTCGGTGCCCGAGGCAGGAAATAAACCCACACCAGCTGCTCTCTAATGAGGAAAAGACTCCAGCATCCAAAAGGCTCTGGAAGCAGGGAGGCCGAGAGTCAGAAGATCTGTTTTGGTTCACCCCCATGGAGAAGAATTGTCCTCCCATGTCGCCGAGGCACTGAATTCGCTCTGGATTTTGGTGCAAACTTCAAAACTGCTGGGACACTATTGTGATTTAAGATTCACCATCTTTAAAAGTTCAGGTTGGAGTCAATTCACTATTCTCACTAACATAAAAGGACAACTTTGCAGAACTAAGGGAAGCTCCCGTCAACAGCACATATGCGTCTGGCGGGGTCGAGAGACAGGGCCTTCTCGGCTGTGGCCCCCCTATGCCATCATGCCTGGGGGCTATAACTCTTAGTGAAAGAGACATAGACGTGACATCTTTCCTCCAGGGGATTGCTTCTTGCCTTCCTTTAGAAAACAGGAACTCCCAAGGACCAAAACACTGTAGATAACTCAAAATAGGTTTGATTGTTCACAAAGAGTTATTTATTTATTTATTTATATACTTTGCTTCTATACCGCTGTTCTCAGCCCGGAGGCGACTCACAGCGGTTCACAAAACACAGAACACAGCAATATTCAAACACCAATATAGACAGTTAATAACCTAGTCTAATACACAATTAATACACAATTACTATGAAACCATTCACTAGCGTCTCGTCACTAAAAACATGATCCAGGTTCGTCGTCCATTGTTCCATTCCTATGTCATTACCAGTCTTGCACTAATCATTCGAACGCCTGCACAAATAACCAGGTCTTTACTTTTTTGCGGAAGACCATAAGAAATGGTACTAATCTAGTTATCCCTTTAAGGCAATAAGCTGAAAGTTTCAAAGGGGGTAAAGGAAATATACATTACAGTCTCTGGTTGTCTTGGGTCCAAGGAGATTTCTCAACTGAGAAGCTTCTCCTGTTCCCTCTTTTCTCAATGGCTGTGAAGGTCGAAACAAACACAACCCCCAGTCTAATGGCCTATGTTGAAGGCACAGAGTCTTCCTTTTGATGCCAAAGGACCCGTTTGAAGGCACTTGGGTCTCCTCAATGTTGTCCAGGGCGATCTGGGCATGAAGTATGAGTCCCAAGGGTAAAATCCTTAGAATTGGTGATGAGAGGTAACTTAAATAAGGGCTTTAGAGCCAAGTCTCTTTCTCACGTCTATCTGATAGAAAGTTTGATGGTAGAATGGAAAAGGAAAAGCTCTGCCCTCCTCCAGGAAGAGGTGGAGCCAAGCAATTGAGCTGAGGAAGCAATATAACTGGTGCAAACAACACTGATTGACAGCTATAAATAACCAATCAATCCAACTATACATTTACAAACTAGGCAAGTTTGAGCATGTTATACAGTTTAATCCTTTGCACTTTAAAGTTCTACACACAGGTGGTGCCACTCGCGCCATCACACCCCCGCCTATGGAACACACTCCCAAATTAGGTAAGATCTGCTCCCTCCCTCCTGGCTTTTAGGAAAAAATTAAAATCATGGTTAGGGGACCAGCCTTCGGACAGTAGATGTATGTAGCATTTTAGAGGGACATTGACTGGAATGGTGATTCAACTGACAAGACTGTTTTATTGTTTTAATGTTTGTTGATGTATTGTTTTAATTAGGATTTATGTTTAACTGTGGTTTTACTATTGTAATTGTTTGTATTGGCATCGTATCGGAGCCCAATGTGAGGCATTAAATTTTGCCATTATTTGGACTCCCAGGGGTGAGAAAGGCGGTAAATACTGTAAATAATAATAATAATAATAATAATGTTATTTTTGTCGGTGATGCTTCCCAGAAGCCCCAAATGGCTATAAATATGTTTAATTGACAACTCAGCAGTATCAGAAGCTGATGCCGCCAAGACAGATGCTTTTCCTAGGCTTGGGGTTGAGAGAGTGTAACCTGCCCAGCATCACCCTATGGGTTTCCATGGCAGAGCGGGGATTGGAACCACATGCTGGCCTTTAAAGCCACAATGGCTTCAAACTACAAGAAAGGAGATTCCATCTGAACATGAGGAAGAACTTCCTGACTGTGAGAGCCGTTCAGCAGTGGAACTCTCTGCCCCGGAGTGTGGTGGAGGCTCCTTATTTGGAAGCTTTTAAACAGAGGCTGGATGGCCATCTGTCAGGGGTGATTTGAATGCAATATTCCTGCTTCTTGGCAGAATGGGGTTGGACTGGATGGCCCATGAGGTCTCTTCCAACTCTTTGATTCTATGATTCTATTATTGGCAGCCAGAATCCTGTAGCAGAGTTGTGTCTGTTTTGTGTTTAGTTTACTTTGGGATTTCAATGAGGTAGGTGTGTACTCATGGGACTTCAATGTTGTAAGTCTGCTTACCACTTCATTGGAGGTGGATATGTTCATAGAGATTCACATTTGCCAAACAGAGGTGACATCATTTTAGCTTTGCAATAAAGTTATGGTGAACTGGAATTTCCAAGAAATTATGGATTTTCCAATACCAATGATCTAGCAGTCTATAACCTCTCTGTTGTCAGAAAAACTCCTCCTCTAATCTGCTCTTCCCTTCCCAGGAGTTTGTGTCCCCCATCAAGAGGCTGGTTTTCCCAAAAGCAGCCCGAAAGCAGGCCCTTCGGACGAGTATCTGCCGGCGTCCTTTGCACTCGGTGCCTCTCTACCCTCCGGACTTCCTCATCGATCCCCAGATCCTCCTGCATGACTATGTGGAAAAGGAAGTGAAGGTGAGGAGGGAGGGCAGAAGGTATTTGGGGTTCATCTACACTACAGGATGAATGCGGTTTGACCCCACTTTAACAACCATGGCTTCCATTGCTATGTGTTGGGGCTCAGCAGCAACATGCTAGGGATGCTGGGATTCTGCCTCGGAGGATGAGGGGAATGATAGATTTTTCACTGAGTCTGGGTGTGATCAGGCTGAATCACAAACAGAAATGCAGGCCATAGATCAGAGAGAAGGTCCAACAGCTGCATAAGAGATAGAAGATGTTTCAGATTCTATTTCTCTTGAGAATTGGCCTTCACAGCCTTCAGAGAATGGGGAGTTGCCCCGTACCTTGGGAAGTTGGATCTGGCCACGGTGGTCCACGCTCTTGTTACATCTCGATTAGATTACTGCAACGCGCTCTACGTGGGGTTGCCTTTGAAGACTGTTCGGAAACTCCAACTAGTCCAGCGGGAGGCAGCTAGACTGCTCACCGGAGCGTCATACAGGGAGCATGCCACCCCCCTGTTGTGTCAGCTCCACTGGCTGCCGATCCAGTTCCGAGCCCAATTCAAAGTGCTGGTTTTGACCTACAAAACCCTATACGGCTCCAGCCCAGTGTATCTGTCCGAACGGATCTCCCTTTACGTCCCACCCCGGAGTCTAAGATCTTCTGGGGAGGCCCTGCTCTCGACCCCGGCTCTATCACAAGTGAGGTTGGCGGGGATGAGGAGCAGGGCCTTCTCGGTGGTGGCCCCCCACCTGTGGAATTCGCTCCCCGGGGAAATTAGATCAGCGACATCACTCCTTTCCTTCAGGAAAAAACTGAAAACATGGATTTGGGACCAGGTATTTGGACAATTGTGCAAATAAAGAAAGGACTTTGAGAATGGCCAGGAAATGACTAATGGAATGGAATTTGGAACTCTGAAAGACGAACGCTGAGCATGTGAATAGTTTTTATATGATGTAATGTATATTGATTGTTATGATTGTTTTAACTGTGATAATTGTTTTAACTATGGTTTTTGTACACTGTGTATAATTTTTGTATAGGCATCGAATTGTGCCTTTTGTAAGCCGCCCTGAGTCCCCCCTCGGGGGTTGAGAAGGGCGGGGTAAAAGCACCCGAAATAAATAAAATGATATGAGATTAAGCCTCTGCTCAGAGAGAGCAAAGGAAAGGTCAATTAGAAGGTCAGAAAGATTTTGTAAGAAACAGTCCTTGAAACCCAGACGCAGAAGGGATGACTTCATGGCTTCTTGATCAGGTTTGAGTTTAAATTAAGAGATGTTTTCCTGGTCTCTTCAGAGTAGACAACTTTGTCTTAAAATCAAGTTCAGGTTTAGCTCACAAGTTGCGTATGTTCCTGAAATAGTTTTGTCTTGGATAAGTTCCTGTTTTCATGCATATGGATTAATGTCTATGTTCCTGATTCATGCTTATGGATTTATGGATTTATGCCTATGCTCTTGACTTCATGGATTACTTGTACTTTGCTACCTTGGACTATTGATCTTTGTATTTTGGATTATTGCTATTTCATAGCACCCTTTCTACTGCTTTTGGGGAATTTCCATTCCACCCTGTAAAAACTTTTGTAAATGAATGTAGTTAGTAGGCCTGGGCAAATGGTTCTAAAGTACTTAAAAAACTAAAGTTTTGGTGGTGAAAATTTCAGAACTCTAACAAAACTTTCAAAATTTAATTATTATTTCATTATTGGTGATTTTTATGACAGAACCAATTAGGAACTGCCATTTATAATGAAATTTTGAGAGTTTTGTTAGAGTTTTGAAATTTTCACCACCAGAACTTTAGTTTTGTAAGTATTTTAGAACCATTTAGAACCATGCATTGCCCAAGCCTAGTTAGCTACGTCTGGACTCTGTGTGGTGTTGGGTGAAGAGGTGTTCCACAGCTGGAATGCAACACTATGGAATGCTGGGAGTTATAGTGTTCCAAGCTCTTGAGCCTTCTCAACCAAAGCATGCTAGAGCTGCACCAAATAGGGTCCTTCTAGTGTGCTATAGCTCCCAATCCGATCCAGTGAAACCCACAAGAGTTGAAGGCAGGAACAGCCATCATAGAATCATAGATTTGGAAATCCTGTGGCTACTTTTCCATCACACTCTGTCCTGGTCCACTCATATATCTTCTATTTCCCTGAAAGCACAAGTAAGCAGATCAGCCATTTTATGTTTTAGCATTACCAAAGGGGGTTGGGATATACCATCGCTATTAAAGTTTTTAATGCCAAGACAGCTACCCAGTTGCTGTATGCACCCAGCATCTGGATTTATAGCCCAGGAACAAAAATCATGTTACACAGAGTTATGCACACTTAGTGGATACATGGGAAGGGGTTGGGAAAGGGGACTTAGTCTGGTTCCATAGTATTGAACCATGGGAGTAAAAGTGGGGTTAAACTGTGCTAATTATATGATGCAGATGCACATTATGCCTTGTCTAGGAGTTTTCTAGGCCCTCCAGATGATGCCGTGGTGTGTTTCCTCCTGAAATTGAGCCACGGCCTTTAAAGTGGTATCAAACTGCATTAATTCTACAGTGTGGTAGATGCACTAAAATGCCCATCTAACCAGATTTTTGGAAATTGCCACACGGCACTCTTCAATCAATCAGACCTCACAACCTCTGAGGATGCCTGCCATAGATGTGGGTGAAACGTCAGGACAGAATGCTTCTGGAACATGGCCAGACAGCCGGAAAACTCACAGCAACCCAATCAGTTTTTAGATCATTTTCTTCTCCTCCTTTCCAGTTTTTAGGCCACTTGACCTGGGTCAACACCTCCTTGAATCCCTCCAGCCGAGATGAACTGTTGCAGCTCCTGGACACTGCAAGGGTAATCAATGTATTGTCGAAGGCTTTCATGGCCGGAATCACTGGGTTGTTGTAGGTTTTTCCGGGCTATATGGCCATGTTCTGGAGACAATTTTTCTCCTGACGTTTCGCCTGCATCTATGCAGAGGTGGCCCTAGGTAATTTTCAACGGTAAGCAAACAGTATTTTGGCCCCCCCCCCAATCATTGATATACATTTTCTGTTCATCGTGGGAGTTCTGTGTGCCATATTTGGTTCAATTCCATCATTGGTGGAGTTCAGAATGCTCTTTGATTGTAGGTGAACTATACATCCCAGTAACTACACTTGCCGCACTTGCTCCCTTGCCTGGCCCGCTTTGGGTTCGGAGGCGTGCCTGAAGACCCCGGCGTGTGCACCAAAAGTTACCTCTTCTCCTGACTTTCTCCTCAGCCATTGGGACCAAGAGAGAGAGAGAGAGAGAGAGGTGGAGATGCCCACCTTTCCTGAAGGTAGGCGCAAAAACAAAGGAGGGAGCGGAGGTGGGAGATACCTCCAGCCGGAGGGGCTCTCTCTCTCTCTCTCTCTCTCTCTTGGTCCCAATGGCTGGAGAGAAAGTCAGGAGAAGAGGCGACTTTTGGTGCGCACGCTGGGGTCTTCAGACACTCCGGACCCAAAGCGGGCCAGGTGCAGCGGCTCAGCCCCTTGGCCCACCCGCGGATTGGGGAGAGGAGAGGAGGAAGGTGGAGCGCCGGGGGATCAGGAAAGGGAGCCAGTCATGGGGAAGGGATCGAACACGGAGAACGATTGAGCGCCGGCTCTGCTCGTGCACCTGGTGGCCGGGTGAAGCAGGAACGAGAGGGGCTAGGCGAGGCTCAAGGGCCCGGCCCCTTTAGGAAGGGGATCGCCCGGCAGTGAGGCAAGAAAGCTGAGGCTCCCCCCGGACTGCTAGGGCTGTTGTGAGCCGAGGGGGCTCCTCAAGTGGCGGTCGAGGGGCATTTACAGAGGTGCCTCTGCACCCCTGGCAAAAAAAAGTGTTCTGCGACCGCTTACTTCGCATAATGGATGAGCCGCCCCTGCATCTATGGCAAGCACCCACTACCTCTGAGGATGCTTGCCATAGATGCAGGTGAAACGTCAGGAGAAAAATTGCCTCCAGAACATGGCCATATAGCCCGGAAAAACCTACAACAACCCAGCAAGGGTAATCGTTTACAGTAATGCAGTTATAATGAATATGTTGGACTGGGGTTGATAAATCATGAATTAGATCCAATAGGGAGATAAATAGGGTTTAAATAATTTTTGGATTCTGGAGAACAGGGTTTGAGTTCCCACTCAGCCATGAAACCCAATGGTTGACCAATATAGTTACAGCTCAAGGATAAAAGTTATCTCTCAGGTGGTAATGATCTATATAATAAAAATGTAATGTTCGTTTGTGGGATTAACAGAACTCAAAAACCACTGGACGAATTGACACCAGATTTGGACACAAGACACCTAACAACCCAATGTAAGTCCTTCACTCAAAAAATTGATTTTGCCATTTGGGAGTTGTAGTTGCTGGGAGGGTCGCGATGGGGTGTCGGAGGGGTCGCCAAAGACCATCAGGATACACAGTATTTTCTGCTGGTCATGGGAGTTCTGTGTGGGAAGTCTGGCCCAATTCTATCGTTGGTGGGGTTCACAATGCTCTTTGATTGTAGGTGAACTATAAATCCCAGCAATTACAACTCCCAAATGTCAAGGTCTATTTTCCCAACAGTGTTCACATTTGGACATATTGAGTATTCATGTCAAGTTTAGTCCAGATCTATCATTGTTTGAGTCCACAGTGCTTTCTGGAGATAGGTGAACTAAAACTCCCAAACTCAAGGCAAATGCTTACCTAACCCTTTCATTTTTTAATATATTTTTTTGCTGGTCATGGGCGTTCTGTGTGCCAAGTTTGGGTCAATTCCATCTCTGGTGGAGTTCAGAATGTTCTTTGATTATAGGTGAACTATAAATCCCAGCAACTATAACTCCCAAGGTCCAGAGAATGAAAATACATCCTGCCTATCAGATATTTACATGACGATTCATAACAGTAGCAAAATTCCAGTTATGAAGTAGCAATGAAAATACTTTTAGGGTTGGGGGTCACCACAACATGAGGAACTATGTAAAGGGGTTGCAGCGTTAGGAAGGTTGAGAACCACTGCTCTAAGAAATTTGATTTTGTCATTTGGGAGTTGTAGTTGCTGGGATTTATAGTTCACCTACAATCAAAGAATATTCTGAACCCCACCAACGATGGAATTGAACCAAACTTGGCACACAGTTCTCCCATGAGCAACAGAAAATACTGGAAGGGTTTGGTGGGCAGTGCCCTTTGGTTTTGGAGTTGTAGTTCACCTACATCCAAAGATCACTGTGGACTCAAACAATGATGGATCTGGACCAAACTCTACAAGAATACTCAATATGCCCAAATGTGAACACTAGTGGAGTTTGGGGGAAATAAAATCTTGACATTTGGGAGTTGTAGTTGCTAGGATTTATAGTTCACCTACAATCACAGAGCATTCTGAACCCCACCAACGATAGAATTGGGCCAAACCTCCCACACAGTACCCCCACGTGGGCCACAGCAACGCGTGGCAGGGGATGGCTAGTTCAAAATAAAGAATGGATCCTTAAGCATGCTTTGAGCTTTCTTAAGGCTGCGGGACCTATAAACCGTTTGGCAAATGGGCTTAATAACAAAAGACCCTCGCCAAAATAGTACAGCAGAGTATTTAGCAGCAGCAGCGTAACCCAGAACCACATAGACTATTGCTATCTTCCTTTAGAGGCATCTTTTGTAGAAAAATAATAGGGTTACAAAAACAAGGCTTCCACAACATAAACAAAACTCTTTATACTTCCTTGTTATATTTTTGCTTCAGCTTTTTTCTTCACACTGCACTTCTCTCTCATGTAGACAAAGAACATACAAACGGTCTCCAAACTGAAGCAGCTCTCTCCTTGGAGTAGTCAAACACAGCACTCTTTACACCGAGGCATTCTTCACACAGAAGGAAATCTTCACATAGGAGGAGCAGTAACTCACAGGCACTGTGCTGTCACGCGCTGGGCCTATAGCAGTTGGCTTTTGAACAGGACGTGCTCTTTGTGCCCAGCGGGAAGCCGGGGTGCCTCGAGTGAGAGGCCCTAAGGATTTTCCTATACAGAGTCTTTAGAAGCTTGAAAGATTTAACAAAGTCCTTTATTACTGCTTAAGTCTTCAACAAACAATCAAATACTTCTTAGATCTTCAACAGGTCAAACAAATACTTCAAGGCTTTGAATCAACTGGTGGATTTCTTAATCTTGTCCACAAGGGACAGGCAACTGGCTTCGTGAACTGTTTCTTTTCTTTAAGGGGAAAGCCCTTTTTAACCCCTCCTTGGGCAATCTACTTTCTAAACTTTGCTGGTGTGGGCTCTACTCCCGTCTCCAAACTGCTTCTTGGGTCCCGAGTAGACCTACCAGTCAAGACTTTGTAGATTCTCCAGCTGGAATCCTTTGGAACTGTTTCCCCCCGGAATTTCCCCCGGATGCTGTGAGAAACGAAGCTTCTCTACAGGTGGAGCCAATCCACGTCCTGTAGCTAAGCTTTCCAATGCAAGACTGACCTAAAATGGCTCCCTCTCCTCCCAGAGCCCTGGGGAAAGGGGCGGAACCAAAACTTAACAATGATTGATGGGTCATAGACCCTATAATTGCAAACCAAGGGAAGCCACCTTATTGCAAAATGCATGGAACTTTGGAATACATGCAAACAGTCAAAGAAAAGGAAGTTGGAGCTTTTGGTACAGCCATACCAGCACAGGCACACCTGCTTATATTACCCTACTGGTTTTGTTTAGTCGTTGCAACATTTTAACTCTTTTAGTTTCTGTACATTATAATAATATTAATTTAAAAACTTTATTAATATTCCGCCCTATCTCCCCAGAGGGATTCCAAACATAAAAGGCACACATTCAGTGCCCGAATACAACAACAACACATCCATAATAACAAAATGTATACAACTCAACATATTAATACAAATTATAACTTAACTTAATTATAACTTAACAAACTAAAATTAAATAAAAAGCACAGCCTGTTATAGCAGACATAAGACAAAACATCAGACATCAAATGGAAACAATAATTTCCCATTTTTGAGGTGCAAATAGATTCATCATCATCATCATCATCATCATCATCATCATCATCTTTAATTACTTATTAATCGCCCTCCATCCGAGAATGCTCTAGGCGATTTACAGCTAAATTGTAAAAGATAAAATACATACATACAGAATTTAAAAATTAACAGAGATCGAATGCTCTAGCAAAAAGCCAGGTCTGAAGTGCTAGAGTAAAAGGTCCTAAGTCACACATGGCTCTCATGTAGGACGGCAAGGAATGCCACAAGGCAGGGGCAGAAATAGAGAAAGCCCATCTGCGCCTGGTCTTTTCCAAGTGCACTTCTCTAGGACCCGGTATATAGAGTAAGTTGCGTTGGGCTGACCGTTGTGGCCTCCGATGATGGGAGAAGGAGAGGTGGTCCCTAAGGTACAATGGACCCTGGCCGTAAAGAATTTTAAAGGTCAGAACTAGCATCTTATACAGGCCACGGTACTCAGTTGGAAGCCAATGCAAATGTTGCAGCACTGGTGTTATATGGCATTTCATGGGCGTTCTTGTGAGTAACCTGGCTGCTGCGTTCTGAACAATACGGAGCTTTTGGGTCGTAGACAGAGCGTTGCAGTAGTCCAGCCTAGACGTGACCGTGGCATGGATGACTGTTGCCAGAGCCTCGTCAGATAGGTAGGGTGCCAGTTGCCTTGCTTGTCGTAGATGGAAAAAGGCTTGTTTGCTGGCAGCAGCGACCTTTCATTGCTCAAGATATCTATTGAGCTGTTGGGGGGAGCAGGGCACGGATATGGATGGCAACTATTAATCAGAGGTATAATGGTAGTATTATCAACTACTATTCCTCCTCCTTGTAAGCAAATGAGCAAAGGTATGTCTTCACCTGTTTTTTGAAAGCGGGGAGGGAGGGGCCATCTTTAACTCCTTAGGAAAGGAGTTCCAGAGGTGGGGGGCAGTCACGGAGAAGGCCCTTTCTCTCGTTCCCACCAGCCATGCTTGGGACGGGGGTGGAACTGAGAGGAGGATCTCCTCCGATGACCGCAGTGTCCGAGTTGGTCTGTAGAGAGAGATGCGGTTTGTCAGATGCGGTTTATTACTTTTTGTAATTAAAAATACACTGCTAATTTTCAATATTTCTGACATAAACCTCTTCCAAAGAGGGGAGAAAAAGAGCACCCAATGATTCTCTGTGCAGAAATGGTGACCCTTTGGAGCGCCTTCCTATCTGCCACTGTGCAGTTACCAAACTACACACCGATGCAGCAGGATAGGACACGCTTTGTAGCGCAGTAGAGGAAAATCACCAGCAGTTTTTCATTCAGTTGTTGGTTCCTTAGAAGCTACGGAGACCTCTTTCCTTTAAAAGTACTCTTCCTTGGCTCTGTCTTTCCGGCAGCAACTGAAGGAGCTTCCCCTGAAGACCACTCCAGAGCAGGACAGCATCCTGAGCCTTTCGGCCCGCTGCCTCCTCCTGACCTGGAGGGACAACGAGGAGCTCATCCTGCGCATCCCGACTCATGAGATCGCAGCCGCCTCTTACCTGCGGGACGATGCACTGCACCTCCTGGTCCTCAAAACTGGTGGGTTTGCCTCCAGTGTCCAAGGTGCTGACTCCCCTCAAACTGTTTTGGCTGTAGTCTGTGGAGTCCTAGGAGGTCTGTCTACCTTGGTGAGAGCAGAGGAAGGTAAAGACCCTGCAAAACTGGAATTCCCAGGATTCCATAGCATTGAAGTAAAAGTGCCATCAAACTGCATTAGCTTTACAGTATAGATCAGGCATGGGCAAACTTTCTAACTTGGGGGCCGCATGCTAGCACTCTCTGCTAGAGGGATTGGCTGCCCAGTGATGGAAGGAAGGGAAGGATGGAAGTAGAAAGAGGGAGAGAGGGGAGGAGAGAAAGAAGAAAAGACAAAAGGGGGGAGGGTAGGAGGAAGGAGGGGAGAAGGATGGGAGGAAGGGAGGGAAGGATGGATGGAAGGAAGGATGGAAGGAAGGATAGGAAGGAAGGAAGGAAGGAAGGGGGAAGAAAGAGAGACAGAAGGAAAGACAAAAGGGAGGGAGGAGAGGATGAAAGGTAGGTGGGTAAAGAGGTAGAAAAGAGAGAAGGAAGGAAAGACAAAAGGGAAGGAAGGAGTCTGGATGGCCATCTGTTGGGGGTGCTTTGAATGCAATTGTCCTGCTTTTGGCAAGGGTTGGACTGGATGGTTCACGAGGTCTCTTCCAACTTTATGATTCTATGATTCTAGAAGGAAGGAAGGAAGGAAGGAAGGAAGGAAGGAAGGAACGGAAGGAAGGATGGTAGGAAGGAAGGAAGAAGGAAGGAGAGGAAGAGAAGGGAGAAGAGAAAAGAGAAGGAAGGAAAGAGGAAGGAAGAGAAAGGATGAGAGAAAGGGAGAGGAAAGAAGGAAGGGAAGAAGGGGGAGGGAGGAGAGGAAAGGAAGGAAAGACGGAGGGAGGGATGTAAGAAAGAGGGAGGGAGGAAAGAGGAAGGAAGGAAGGAAGGAAGGAAGGAAGGAAGGAAGGAAGGAAGGAAGGAAGGAAGGAAGGAAGGAAGGGTGGGTGGAAGGGTGGAAGAGGAGGATGGAAGGAGAAAGAGGGAAGGAGGGAGGAAAAAGAGAAGGAAGGAAAGACGGAAGGAAGGAAGAAGAAAGAGGGAGAGGGAAGGAAGGAAGGAAAGGAGAAAGGGTGGAAGGAAGGGGAGGGAAAGAAAAAGGAAGGAGAAAGGGAGGAAGGGAAGAGGAAAGAGGGAAAGAGGGAAGAAGGAAGGAAGGAAGGAAAGAAGGAAGGAAGGAAGGAAGGAAGGAAGGGTGGAAGGGTGGAAGAAGAGGATGGAAGGAGAAAGAGGGATGGAGTGGAAGGAGGAAAGAGAAGGAAGGAAAGACAGGAAGGAAGGAAGATAAGAAAGGAGAAAGAGGGAGAGAGGGAAGGAAGGAAGGATGAAAGGGTGGAAGGGAAGGGGAAAGAGAGAAGGAAGGAAGGAAGGAAGGAAGGAAGGAAGGAAGGAAGGAAGGAAGGAAGGAAGGAAGGAAGGAAAGGATGGTTAGAGAGAGGAAGGCCTGAGAAAAGAGCCTAAGGGACCGCATCCGGCCTCTGGGTCTGGGTTTACTCATAACTAATATAGATGCACCCTAAATAATTTGGGCATGTTTTGCACAAACTGTCTCTAATAGTAGGGATACAATATAGGTGTGTGGAGGGGCAAAACAAGAGCATTGCACCCACAGAATAATAATTTTGCGCCCCAAAAGAAATTTGGGGACAAAGGGGAAATTATATGGTGTGGCATTTTTATTGGAGAGAGCAATGCCCAAGGAAGAGAGCCTCAATACCTTGCTAGCTGTTTTCTTGTATGATCTATCAAAGTATATATTTTTATCTTTCTTTTTATTTTTAAATGAATAGAACAGCCCTCTCCCTTTGCAGGATTTGCATGTTGCTCTACTACAACAGCCTGACTTGCCTTTAAAAAATTCACATCAGTCTTTTATTTCCACCAACATTGCTAGCAAACATTCCTTTATTGTGCAAATCCGCGCTCCTTCGAGCCGCTTGTTGAAAGCAGATGAGGGAGAATCGAGTCAGCCAAGTCTTGATCAAACACCGAGAGACTGCATTTGTAAGAATGTGTGCACTGTCACACATCAAAAGGATATTGGGCATCAACACAGGGAGACTTCCGGTTGTAGCTTTGTCGGTCTAGTTACTGTGTGAAGAGGATCTGCTCCTTCTCTTGATCTAGATATTTTGGACTTCAACTCCCATCATTCCTAACAGCCTCAGGCCCCTTCCTTTCCCCCCTCAGCCGCATTATTATTATTATTATTATTATTATTATTATTATTATTAGGCAATTAGCAATACACACAAATCAAAGCAGTGGTTAATACACATTTGCAGTTGTTGAACTGAGCACACCTGTTAAAAAATTAGCAAGTTTCATAGAATCATAGAATCAAAGAATTGGAAGAGACCTCCTGGGCCATCCAGTCCAACCCTATTCTGCCAAGAAGCAGGAATATTGCATTCAAATCACCCTGACAGATGGCCATCCAGCCTCTGTTTAAAACGTGGTTCTCAACCTTCCTAATGCCTGACCCTAACACAGTTCTCATGTTGTGGTGACCCCAACCATAAAATTATTTTTGTTGCTACTTCTTAACTGTAATTTTGCTACTGTTAATCATATGTAAATATCTGATATGCAGGATGTATTCATTCGCTGACCAAATTTGGCAAGAATACCCAATACACACAAATTGGAATAGTGGTGGAGTTGGAGGGAGGGATTGATTTTGTCATTTGGGAGTTGTAGGGGGATTTATAGTTCACCTACAATAAGGAGTATTCTGAACTCCATCAATGATGGAATTGAACCAAATTTGGCACACAGATCTCCCACGACCAACAGAAAATACTGGAAGGGTTTGGTGGTCATTAACCTTGAGTTTGGGAGTTGTAGTTCACCTACATCCTGAGATCACTGTGGACTCAAACAATGATGGATCTGGACCAAACTTGGCACAAATCCTCAATATGCCCAAATGTGAACACTAGGTGGAGTTTGGGGGAAAGAGACTTGACATTTGGGAGTTGTAGTTGCTGGGATTTATAGTTCACCTACAATCAAAGAGCATTCTGCTTCTTGGCCGGGGGTTGGACTGGATGGCCCATGAGGTCTCTTCAAACTCTTTTATTCTATGATTCTATGATTCTACCAGCAAAAGATAGAATTGGGCAGACTTCCCCTACCCCACACAAAAATAAAATCAAAAACAGAAAATACAATGTTTTGAGACCTCATGGACCATCCAGTCCAACCCCCTGCCAAGAAGCAGGAATATTATTCCACCCCTGACAGATGGCCATCCAGCCTCTGTTTAAAAGCTTCCAAAGAAGGAGCCTCCACCACACTCCGGGCAGAGAGTTCCACTGCTGAACGGCTCTCACAGTCAGGAAGTTCTTCCTCATGTTCAGATGGAATCTCCTCTCTTGTCGTTTGAAGCCATTCCTCCATTGCGTCCTAGTCTCCAAGGAAGCAGTAATCAAGCTTGCTCCCTCCTCCCTGTGGCTTCCTCTCACATATTTATACATGGCTATCATATCCCCTCTCAGCCTTCTCTTCTTCAGGCTAAACATGCCCAGCTCCTTATGCCGCTCCTCATAGGGCTTGTTCTCCAGACCCTTGATCATTTTAGTCGCCCTCCTCTGGACACATTCCAGCTTGTCAATATCTCTCTTGAATTGTGGTGCCCAGAATTGGACACAATATTCCAGGTGTGGTCTAACCAAAGCAGAATAGAGGGGTAGCATTACTTCCTTAGATCTAGACACTATGCTCCTATTGATGCAGGCCAAAATCCCATTGGCTTTGCCGCCACATCACATTGTTGGCTCATGTTTAACTTGTTGTCCACGAGGACTCCAAGATCTTTTTCACACGTACTGCTCTCGAGTTTGTTAAATATTTATTATTTGTTTATTTACTGCATTTCTATGCCGTCTTTCTCAACCCGGAGGCAACTCAAGGCGGCGTACACTGACACAATTCAATGCCACAATGATCATAAAACAAAATTAAAAACATTAAACGCATATTATAAAATAATAATAATAATAATAATAATAATAATAACAACAACAACACTTTAGTTATATTCTGCCCTTCTCACTCCAAAGGGGACTCACACTACAAATACACGGCAAACATTCAATGCCGCTTTGTATAGACGATACACAGATAGACAGAACAGAAGGAGGTGGTTTGTTTTGACTCAGTGTGTAGCTGTTTTGGTGCCGTGGAAGGTTGGGCTCGAGGGGGTACTGTCGCTCCATCCTCTATGATGAAGATCCATCAGGACTTCCTCCATCCTTTGGGTCGCCCAACATTTTCTGATCTTCTTTCTTTATGGTGTCGTAAAAGACCTCCCCCACTTTCTCAATTACAGCTCAAGTACCCAATTTCTCTAATTACAGCTAAAGCTGTTTTCGAACTGCTTAGGTAAACATTGAGCAGGGCTGATGGTTGGTTGCTCATGCCGACCTGGGGCTTTGAACTTGCAACCTTTCGGTTGATAGATCTTATAGTTGCTGGTGATTTACCAGCTGTGCTAAACCTCTGGCCCATGTAAAAAGCATTAAAAACATAAAATGACATTGTCAAGCCATTCCATGTTCATCTGTGCTATTTGCATTTGTTATTTATTTTATTTATCGTGTCATCAGCAACCAGACATTTGTATTACATTTTTAACAAAAACAAACAAACAAACAGACAAAACACGGAATTCGCAAGCTTGGTAGTTGATGAAATGTCCTTTGACCAGTATCTGGCCACTTGGAGTGCCTCTGGTGTTGCCGCAAGGAGGCCCTCCCTTGTGCATGTGGCAGGGCTCAGGGTGCATTGCAGCAGGTGGTCAGTGGTTTGCTCTTCTCCACACTCGCATGTCGTGGATTCCACTTTGTGGCCCCATTTCTGAAGGTTGGCTCTGCATCTCGTGGTGCCAGAGCGCAGTCTGTTCAGCGCCTTCCAAGTTGCCAGTCTTTCTGTGTGCCCAGGGGGGAGTCTCTCATTTGGTATCAGCATTGATTGAGGTTCTGGGTTTGAGCCTGCCACTTTTGGACTCTCGCTTGCTGGGGTGTTCCAGCGAGTCTCTGTAGATCTTAGAAAACTATTTCTTGATTTAAGTCGTTGACGTGCTGGCTGATACCCAAACAAGGGATGAGCTGGAGATGTCTCTGCCTTGGTCCTTTCACTATTGGCTGCTACTTCCCGGCGGATGTCAGGTGGTGCAATACCGGCTAAGAAGTGTAATTTCTCCAGTGGTGTAGGGCGCAGACACCCCGTGATAATGCGCATGTCTCATTAAGAGCCACATCCACTATTTTAGCATGGTGAGATGTGTTCCACACTGGGCATGCTTACTCAGCAGCAGAGTAGCATAGCGTAAGGGCAGACGTCTTCACTGTGTCTGGTTGTGATCCCCAGGTTGTGCCAGTCAGCTTTCGTATGATGTTGTTTCTAGTGCCCACTTTTTGCTTGATGTTCAGGCAGTGCTTCTTGTAGGTCAGAGCATGGTCCAGAGTGACTCCCAGGTATTTGGGTGTGTTGCAATGATCCTTTCACTATTGGCTGCTATTTCCCAGCAGATGTCAGTGGTGCAGTACCGGCTAAGCAGTGTAATTTCTCCAGTGGTGTAGGGCGCAGACACCCCGTGATAATGCGGCATGTCTCATTAAGAGCCACATCCACTGTTTTAGTGTGGTGAGATGTGTTTCACACTGGGCATGCATACTCAGCAGCAGAGTAGCACAGCGCAAGGGCAGATGTCTTCACTGTATCTGGTTGTGATCCCCAGGTTGTGCCAGTCAGCTTTCGTATGATATTGTTTCTAGCACCCACTTTTGCTTGATGTTCAGGCAGTGCTTCTTGTAGGTAAGAGCACGGTCCAGAGTGACTCCCAGGTATTTGGGTGCGCTGCAATGCTCCAGTGGGATTCCTTCCCAGGTAATCCTCAGAGCTCGGGATGCTTGTCTGTTCTTAAGGTGAAAGGAGCATGTCTGTGTTTTAGATGGATTAGGGATCAGTTGGTTTTCCCTGTAATAGGCAGTAAGAGCACCTAGAGCTTCGGAGAGCTTCTGTTCAACCATCTCAAAGATCCCTGCTTGAGTGGTGATGGCACGATCATCAGCATAGATGAAGCTCTCTGTCCCTTCTGGCAGTGGCTGGTCATTTGTGTAGATGTTGAACATGGATGGAGCAAGCACGCTCCCCTGAGGCAGGCCGTTCTTCTGTTTCCGCCATCTGCTTCTCTGGCCCTGGAACTCAACAAAAAAGCTCCTGTTTTGTAGCAGGTTTCCTATGAGGCGGGTGAGGTGGTCGTCCTTTGTGATATTGTACATTTTTATCAGGAGGAGGCAGTGGTGGTTCACAGTATCATAGGCTGCTGACAAGTCTATGAAGAGAGCTCCTGTGATCTGCTGCCTTTCAAAGCCTTTCTATGTGCTGAATCAGGTTCAAGTGTTAAACCTGATAGTTGCTGGTGATCTACCAGCTGTGCTAAACCTCTGGCCCATGTAAAAAGCATTAAAAACATAAAATGACATTGTCAAGCCATTCCATGTTCATCTGTGCTATTTGCATTTGTTGAGCAAATGCAAATAGCACAGATTTCAACTATTCCAACCTACGTCTCTTCAACTTCAGGGTTTTGAAAATAGAGATCCGTGTTAGATTCGATGGTGCGTTAGACTCGAGTCAATGCGGGTAATTCTCTGTTTCCTCTCCAGGCTTGGGGGTGGACCCCGTCCCTTCCGGGAGCAACTCGGACATCTACCCGGCCAGCAAGCAGGAGAAGAAGTTCCTGGAGAAGCGCCCCATGGAGCCCCGTCCGCTGGGAGGCACCATGGAGCGCCGGCACACCATCTGCAGCCTGGACTGGAAGATGGCCCGCAATGGGCCGGAGGGCCGGGCCGGAGGAGGGGGCAGCCTGGAGAGGAAGCAGGGCACCGGTAGCTGGGAGACGAGGCAGAGGGCCACCGGAGGAGGTGGTGGTGGTGGAGCTCGCCCTTTCGGCAGCTGGGAGCGTCGCCAGACCTACAGCGGGAGCTGGGAGCGCCGGCCTGGGGTCAAAGGCGGGGGCAGCTGGGAGCGGCAGGCCTACAGTGGGAGCTGGGAGAGAGGCAAGACCTGTGGCAGCTGGGAGCGCAGGAACACGGGCGGAAACCCCCTTGACCCCAAGGAGCCCAGCCCTGAAGCCTACTGCAACCTGGTCATCCTGGCTGTGGCCAACCGAGTACGCATCCATTCCTCTATCTATCTCCCCACTTTCCTTCCAACCAATTTACTTGTATTACCGTATATCAGTGTTTCTCAACCTGGGGGTCGGGACCCCTGTGGGGGTTGTGAGGGGATGTCAGAGGGGTCACCAAAGACTATCAGAAAACACAGTGTTTTCTGTTGGTCATGGGGGTTCTGTGTTGTTTGGTCTATCGTTGGTGGGGATCAGAATGCTATTTCATTGTGGGTGAACTATAAATCCCAACAACTACAACTCCCAAATGGCAAGGTCTATTTTCCTCAAACTCCTCCAGTGTTCACATTTGGGAATATGGAGCCCCCGGTGGCGCAGTGGGTTAAAGCACTGTGCCGACAGGACCGAAGACCAACAGGTCGCAGGTTCGAATCCGGGGAGTGGCGGATGAGCTCCCTTTATTAGCTCCAGCTCCTCATGCGGGGACATGAGAGAAGCCTCCCACAAGGATGATAAAACATCAAAATCATCCACGCGTCAAACAGTGAGACTGAACAAAGATCCTCCTTTGCCTCCAAAACCCTGAGAAAAGGAGCGGGTCTAAAGACTCTAACGATGATAACCAGGTTGCTGGCCCTATGACTGCAACCTGGGGAAGCTACCCGATTGCAAAATGCATGGCTAGATAAATTCATGCAAACTAGCAGTGCAAGAAAAAGAAATTCAAATCTCCTGGCACTGCCATGCCAGCACACCAAGGCACCTAAATTTACCACAAAAAAATCCGGGGAAATGGATTGACTCGAGTATAAGCCGAGGGTGAGAAATGCAGCAGCTACTGGTAAATTCCAAAATAAAAATAGATACCAATACAATGACATTAATGGAGGCATCAGTAGGTTAAATGTTTTGGAATATTTACATAAAACTGTAATTTAAGGTAAGACTGCCCAACTCTGATTAAACCATTATTTAACCTTCTTCAGTGTAAATGTGCTTACGTATCCTTCCAATAATAATAGAGTAAAACTATAAAGGTAATAATAATAATAATAACAATTATAAGAATAATAGAAAAGTCATAATAACAGTAATAATAGAGTAAAATAATAAAGGTAATAACAACAACAATAATAAAGTAATAAATGTAATAATAACTTTACTTACTTAGGCGATCCCTTGTAGTCCCCTGGGCAACGTCCTTGCAGACAGTCAATTCTCTCACACCAGAAGCGACTTGCAGTTTCTTAAGTTGCTCCTGACACGACCAAAAAAAATTCCACTTTTTTAAATATGGAAGTCCTTAAATTGAAGTATATAGGTATCCTTCTGCATAGTTTATTTATACCACTGGAAATGGAGTAGAAATCAACCCAAGGTTTCCCCTGGCTTCTGAATTTTCAGCAGGCATGGCCACCCATTTTCACTCTGAAGCTGGTTCCATAACGATTAGAAACTCTGATTGCTCTTAAAAGTAAGCTTTACTCTCCGTTTTCAAACAAGCAATTCCTTGCTTTTCCTGTCCATTCATGGTAGCCTTAAAAATATTAAGATGGCTCCAACCCTGAATATGCTTGGATAACTTTGGAATACAGATCTGATTGCTGTTTCTTCCCCGGGATGCAGGACACGGCCGAGGAATCCTGCGCTCTTATCTGCCAAGTTTTCCAAATAATTTATGGCGACCAAACCATTGAGTGTGTGGATCGGGCCGGATACCATTACGCATCCACACCCAAGCGTCCTTGGCTATCTAGCCGGAGTGAGTATTTGTGAATGGAGGGGCTTTCCTTATATTCGGTCCAATAGTAACTCATCTACTGTAAGCAGCAGTGGAGGAACTTGTTCCTTGGAGAAGGTGCTATGGCCCCTTCTAGGTCCCTTCTACAATACTATACTATATAATTCAAATTATCAAAGCAGGTAATCCATATTATCTGCTTTGGATTATCTGGATTATATGAGTCTACACTACCATATAATGCAGTTCAGAGCAGATAACCTCGATTTTAAATGACAGTGTAGAAGAGGCCAATGATTGCCATTCTCTTACTTAGGCAATCCCTCGTAGTCTGAAGATGATGGTCCTCCAAGCGTAGTGTCCTGGTGGTGGGTCCGTAGGTGACTGTGGGGCCCTATTCTTTATATATATATATATATATATATATAATAAATTTTTATTAAAGCGTTTTCATTGCAATATATACACAACATTACATACAATCATTCAAAACATAAGTCAATAGACACGAGTTAATTCCTAGAACTTTCTCCTTGTATTCGTCCTCTATGACTTTCCTACTTAATATATTCTGATCCACGGGAATTCCTCCTATATTTACAAAATCATGAAGACAAAGAGTAGTAAAGGCTTTCTATAAATCTCTACTGTATCTTACACTCTACTATAACTTAAACCTAATCAAAATGAACCAAAATGAGGTCAGAGGGGTAAATGGGTAGGGAAAGGGTAATTGGAGGTAATAGGGAAAGAATAGGTTGTGAGGTGTGAATCAATCATCCGTTCATCCATTGTACTTCCTAACGGCCCCAGGGATTTCTTACAACTTGTATATTTCATATATTTAATTACATATTTTCTAATTTTTGTTGCAGTTGTCAACAATAAGTGCCTTATAACTTTAACTTTTTCTTTTCTTTGAAATATTGTCTAAGAGGATTCCAGTCAACTCTTTTCTTATCACTAATATTCTCTATCATATTAGATAACATATCTAATTCCATTAAGTCCTTTATCTTAATTATCCATGCTTCCATAGGGGGCAATTCCCTCATCTTCCATTTACTTGCTATCACCATTCGAGCTGCCGCTGACAGATGAAATAAAAGCCTCTCCTTGTTTTTTTCCATTTCAAAATCCAGTAGATGCAAGAGGTAGTATTCCGCCTTTAGGTCAAACTTTACCTGTATAATCCTCTGTACATTTCGATGAATCTCCTTCCAGAAGAGTTTTACTTTTTTACAGTACCACCAACAATGTATGAAAGAACCTACTTTGGTGCCACATTTCCAACATAAGTTACTTCCTCCTTGGTGAAATTTGGCCAGTCTTGATGGTGTAAGATACCAGCGCGTAAACATCTTGTACCAGCTCTCTTTAATGATTACTGCTTTGGACAGTTTTATTTTGTTCTTCCAAATATCCTCCCAGTCCTTTAGCAATATGGTGTGGCCCAAATCTCGAGTCCAGGAGATCATGCATTCCTTAATAAGCTCTTTTTCTGTCCGCCATTCCAACAATTTTATATAAAGGGTTTTTATTATTTTTCTCTCCTTCCCCATTATCCTATCCCAGAAGGAGTCCGCTGGGGCAAAACCTATTTTATTGTCTTCTTTAAAGCTATCCGAGACCTGGTAAAGATGGAACCAAGAGAAATTTATATCTAAAGACTTCAATTTATCTAATGGTTTTATACTATATTGGTTTCCTACCTTATCTAGTAATTCCTTATAAGTGTGCCAACTGCCACTGGGCATCTCCCTTTTATGGAAAGCCTCCGTGGGCGACACCCAGAGGGGTGTTTTGCCATAGAACCTAGTTCTATATTTCTCCCAGACTTTCAGTAGCGGGGCTCTGATGATGTGGCTGGTAAAATTCTTTTCTATTTTGGCTTTTCCGTGCCACAGATAGGCATGCCAGCCTCTCCTTAATTCTGCGCCCTCTAGGTTCAAGAGCTTTTTCTTTTTTAAGGTAATCCATTCCCTTACCCATACCAATGCGGCCGCCTCAAAATATAACTGAAAATCCGGTAGGGATAGGCCACCCCTCTCTTTTGAGTCTATCATGGTTGTATATTTAATCCTTTCTTTCTTTCCTTGCCATATAAATTTCTGCATGTCCTTTTTCCATAACACAAAAAGATGTTTGGTTCTGAGTATCGGTAGCATTTGGAATAAGAAGTTCATCTTTGGCAGCACTTTCATTTTTATCAGAGCTACTCTCCCCATTATACTTAGCCTAAGTTGTTTCCAGCTTTCTAGTTTCTTAGAAATTTCCCTCCACGTCTGTTCGTAATTATTCTCTACCAATTGTATATTACTTGCTGTCAGAGTTATCCCTAGGTATTTCACTTTCTTGGTTAAAGTAAAACACGAAATCCTTTCTAATTCAAGTTTCTTGGGTCCGCTGATGTTTTTTGTTAAAAGCTTGGTCTTCTGTTTATTTATTCTTAGCCCCGACACTTTTCCGTAATCCTGAATCTTTTCTATCCAGTTTGTGATGTTCTCCGTTGGGTTCGATATTATACAGACAATATCGTCCGCATACGCTTTTAATTTAAACTCGTCATTTCTTATTTTAACCCCCTTCAGATTGGCATCTCTCCTCACATCTTCTAATAATATCTCCAGAGATAGGATGAATAGAAGGGGGGAAAGGGGACAACCCTGTCTAGTGCCTCTTTCGATTTTTATTGTCTCCGTGAGATGTCCATTTACTTTAATCCTGGCACTTTGAGTAGTATATATAGCCTTCATCATGTTATTAAATTGGTACCCCATATCTTTTTCTCTTGCTACATGCAACATAAAATTCCAGTCTATCTGGTCGAAGGCCTTCTCGGCGTCTAAGAACAAAAGGCCCAATTCTCTTTGATGGTTAGTCTCGTGAAATTCAATGATATCAATTATTGTCCTTATATTATCATGCATTTGTCTTCTTGGAAGAAAGCCGTTTTGGTCTTCATTAATTACCTCGTTAAGGTAAATTTTCATCCTACTGGCCATTATGTGTGCAAATATTTTATAATCAATGTTCAACAAAGCAATCGGCCTATAATTCCTAACGTCATCTTCCTCAGATCCTGTTTTGTGTATTAAAGTAATAAACGCCTCGTTCCAAGATTCTGGAATAATGGCTTCGTTAAGTATTTTGTTGCATATTATCTTCAGATGTGGAGACAATTCTTCCTGAAACATCTTATAATATAGAGCTGTTAAACCGTCAGGCCCGGGAGATTTATGCATGGGTAGTTTATTAATCGCCTCACTGATCTCACTTTCATCTATCTGTTTATTTAATAGCTCCCTTTGTTGTTCAGTGAGTTTAACCAGATTATGTTTTGTCAGGTATTTTACTATTTCTTCTTCCATTATATTTTCTTTCTTGTATAAATCTTTATAAAATTTGCCAAATTGGTTTCTTATCCCTTCCTCCTCTGTATAGAGCGTCCCTTCATTAGTAATCCTCATAATATGTTGTGCTTGTCTTTTTTCCCTAAGACTCTTTGCCATTAACTTGCCCGGTTTATTGGCCTGAGCATAATATTTGGCCTTCATATATTTTAGATTTTTCGTTATATGTTCCAATTGGTTAGAATCTCTTTTTTTCCTCAGTAGCTCTAACTCTAATTTCACTTTTTTATTACCTGGTTTCTTTTTTAGTAAGTTCTCTTTTTCCTCAATATCCTTTGTTAGGATAGCTAATTCCTCTGTTCTTTTTTTGTTACGAATTATTCCCTGCTGAATTAGGTGACCTCTAATAACGGCCTTACCTGCGTCCCATACAATTTCTTCCCTTACACCCTTATTAGCATTGAACTCAAAAAATTCCTTAATTCGTTTTCTGCATAAGGCCACATCTTCTTCTTTTTTTAACAAAAATTCATTTAATCTCCATATTCTCTGCCGTTTATCTCCCCGCACTTTTACTGTTATTGGGCAATGGTCAGAGTTACTCCTGGGCAATATTTTAATCTCTTCTATTTTAGTTGTTAACGTCTTCGATGGTGGGGCCCTATTCTTGACCTGCATCTTCTCCCACAGTGAGGGCATTGGTTTCCAGGTGGAAGGCGGTCCCGGTTGGGGTTGGCTTGATGAGCCTTCCTCTTGGCACGTTTCTCTCTTTCACCCTCCATCCGTGCCTCTTCAAATTCTACACCACTGCTGGTCACAGCTGACCTCCAACTGGAGCGCTCAAGGGCCAGGGCTTCCCAGTTCTCGGTGTCTATGCCAGAATTTTTAAGATTGGCTTTGAGCCCATCTTTAAATCTCTTTTCCTGCCCACCAACATTCCGTTTTCCGTTCTTGAGTTTGGAATAGAGCAACTGCTTTGGGAGATGGTGGTCGGGCATCCAGAGCACATGGCAATCCAGCAGTTGATGGCGGAGGACCATCGCTTCAGTGCTGGTGGTCTTTGCTTCTTCCAGCATGCTGACATTTGTCTGCTTGTCTTCCCAAGAGATTTGCAGGATTTTTTGGAAGCAGCACTGATGCAATCGTTCCAGGAGTTGCATGTGACGTCTGTAGACAGTCCACGTCTCGCAGGCTTATAGCAGGTTTTGGAGGATTATAGCTTTATAAACAAGCACCTTGGTATCCCTATGGATGTCCTAGTCCACAAACATTCTCTGCTTCATTCACTCTGCCATTCTCTATTCCCTTATTATTTATGCAAAACTTCAAAAGGCAGTTAACGCATCCAGGTGAATAAAGACGTAAGGTTTTAATAATCCTGCATCTAACAACTTTGAAATTCTCCTTGTTTACATCAGGAGATTGTCCATTTCCAAACATAATTATTGCTGCTCCGCAAAGCCATTTTTCAAAACAACAGGTAAAGAAATGATAGGAGAAAACAGGGACTGTAAATAAATAAATGCTGACCCAGGTGGATTATTGGGCAGGTGAGGAAGTGGGCAAATGACAGGAGATGAGCAAATCCACGTCTCTGCCTCTAATGCCCAAGAACTCACCCCTCTCACCTTGTTTACTCCCAGGTGAAAGCTGTCGGACTGATGGGACATATGGATATGACGCCGACTTCAGCTGTTGCAGCTCTTTGTAAGTCTTGCTTCTCTCAACGGAAAGAGCTGGAGAGTCCGTGGGTGATGGGTGGATTGATTTCCATGTTCTGAAGGTATCCTGACAAACATTAGCCCAAAGAATGGCAGGGTCTTTCCAGTGCAGGGGTTCCCAATCTTTTTCTGACCAGGGACCACTCTCTACCATTATTACCAAAAGGGCTACAAATCAGTTTTTTGTCAACTTTAGATTTAGTTTGATTATTTGGGGTGCTGATTTAGAAAATTGCATTGGATAAACCACATCAGCTCTAGTTTCTGATACAGAACATATGCCATCCAGAAGTAATCATCTGCTCGCCTGCAGAAAACCATATTTAATAAGCCTCGGCACTATTATTTATTATTTATTTATTTCCTATATTTATACTCCATCCTTCTCCCCCCAAAAAGGGACTCAGGCCGGCCTAACAAAGCATCATACGATGCTAGCATCATAAAAACAACCACAGTACAATCAAAATATTAAAAATTAAAACAACAATTTAAACAATTAATTAAGACACATCCATTAAAATCAAATTCCAAAAAGCAGTCTGGGTCAATTCATTGCCATAAGTTGTGTGATCTTCTTCCACTTGCTGCTCACTGGTCCCATCACCAAGTCTTGATTTTCCTTCTAAAAGACAAGAGGGAGGTGGCCAATCTGATATTTCTAGGGAGGACGTTCTATAGGCGGGGGGCCACTGCTGAGAAGGCCCTGTCTCTCGTCCCCATCAACCGTGTTTGCGATAGTGGTGGGATCGAGAGCAGGGCCTCTCCTGAAGATCTTAAACTTTGTGATGGTTCATGGCAGGAGATACGTTCGGAAAGGTAGTCTGGGCCAGCACCATTGAGGGCTTTAAAGGTTAAAACACTATAAGAGGGTTTCACGAGACCAGTTGCTCCCGTTGCTACAGTGTAGTAACAGTGTGGCCGCAGACCATATTTTAGTTCTTGCGGACCACTGGTGATCTACGATCCGCAGGTTGGGAACAACTGTTCCAGAACAATGCAAATTGGGGGATAATCAGTGCACAGTGGTGTGTACATGCTTTCAAGTTACCAATTGACTGGGCTTTTCTTAGGCAGGGAATCACCTTTGTCAGTTACTTCTTCTGAAATACAACCTATGGCACATGGGATTCCTTGAGAGTTCTTCCAAGTCTGGTGATGGCTCTTCTTTTTGGACTGCCACGTCCACAATCCCCCAACCAATACAGTAACAGTCAAAAAGGTGCTCCAGAAGACAGGAGCATATTTCTCCAGAAGACAGAATAATAATAATACTCCATAATAATAATAATAATAATAATAATACTCCAGAGACAGGAGCAGAATTCAAAACAATCTTGACAGATTAGAGAGATGGGCCAAAACTAACAAAAAGAAGTTCAACAGGGACAAATGCAAGATACTCCACTTTGGCAGAAAAAATGAAATGCAAAGATACAGAATGGGGGACGATGATGCCTGCCTCAAGAGCAGTACGTGTGAAAAAGATCTTGGAGTCCTCGTGGACAACAAGTTAAACATGAGCCAACAATGTGATGTGGCAGCAAAAAAAAAAGCCAATGGGATTTTGGCCTGCATCAAGAGGAGCATAGTGTCTAGGTCCAGGGAAGTCATGCTGCCCATGCTCTATTCTGCCTTGGTTAGACCACACCTGGAATATTGTGTCCAATTCTGGGAACCACATTTGAAGAGAGATATTGACAAGCTGGAATGTGTCCAGAGGAGGGCAACTCAAATGATCAAGGGTCTGGAGAACAAGCCCTATGAGGAGTGGCTTAAAGAGCTGGGCATGTTTAGCCTGAAGAAGAGAAGGCTGAGAGGAGACATGATGAGGGGCATCTATAAATATGTGAGAGGAAGTCATAGGGAGGAGGGAGCAAGCTTGTTTTCTGCTGCCCTGTAAATGAGGACGCGGAACAATGGCTTCAAACAGCTCTTTAAGCTGTTCCTCATAGGCCTTGTTCTCCAGACACTTTATCATTTTAGTTGCCCTCCTCTGGACACATTCCAGCAGTGGCTTATTTGTTCCTTCTCTCTCGTAGCGATGGCTCCCACGAAACCTTTGAGGCCTATGGTGGTGGCAGTGGCGGCTCCTCGCCCTCCTTCCACCGGTCCCACCACAGCCTGGCCACTGCATGCAGTGGGAGTGACCAGAGCAGTGCTGGCCTGGAGCAACTGCAGGACTACATGGTCACGGTGAGTTATGGTGTCAAAGGGTGGAGAGGGAGGCTTTCTTGGCTCCATTGACACTGCCATATAATGCAGTTTGAAACCACATTATACCGGATGTTAAGAATTGTTGAAGTTGAAGTCCAAAACACCTGGAGGGCCCAAGTTAGCCCATGCCTGGTGTAGACTCAAATAACTATTAAAAACAAATGGTTAAAACTATTAGAAACCTATTAACAGTACACAATCTTTTAAATCGATGAACACTTCATAAAACACTACCCAACACTCACTGACTTGGGCAGAGCCCCCGGTGGCACAGTGGGTTAAAGCCTGTGCTGGCAGGACTGAAGACCGACAGGTCGCAGGTTCGAATGCGGGGAGAGGCGGATGAGCTCCCTCTATCAGCTCCAGCTCCTCATGCGGGGACATGAGAGAAGCCTCCCACAAGGATGATAAAAACATCAAAATCATCAAGGCGTCCCCTGGGCAACGTCCTTGCAGACGGCCAATTCTCTCACACCAGGAGTGACTTGCAATCACTCCTGACACGACAAAAAAATTTTTTTAGCTTTCCGTCATTTAGCTTTTGGGGGCTTTTTAAGTCCCGAAAGAAGGAATTATATATATATATATATATATATATATATATATATATATATATATATGATGTTTGTTTGTTTGTTTGTTTGTGAGAGAAACATAACTCAGAAACCACTGGATGAATTTACACCAAATTTGGACACAATACGCCTAACAGTTCAACAGGTGTTTATCATTCCTAAAAACATACACACACACAAAACCAGCATAACGGACTTCAAAACCCCAGAAATACACCATATATACATATACACATACACATACACACGCATACATATACACATAAACAATGTGTGTGTGTGTATATATATATATATATATACACATATATATACATATACACACATATACACATATACATATACACAAGCACACACAAATATAAACACACATACATATACATATACATACATATATACACACAAATATACACATATATGCATACACACATATATACATATACACATGCACACAAATATACATATACATACATATATATACACAAATATGCATATAGACAAGCACACACAATGTACATATACACATATAAACACACAAATATATACACACACATATGCACACACATATATACACCCATATGTGTGTGTGTGTGTGTGTATAACACAAACACACACACATATATATATTTATTTACTTATTTATTTACTTTATTTATATACCGCTTTTCTCAGCCCTCAGGCGAGGGCTGTACACCTGTACGCAAATATAAACACATATATACACACACAAAACACACATATACAGACTGGGCCACAGGAACATGTGGCAGGGGACATCTAGTGATAAACAATAAGAACAGAATGTTTGTAACATACTATAAAAATAAGAAATAGAAAGAGGGGGGATGAATAATAATTAACTAGGGAAAGAATAGTGAAGAAGGGGAGTGAGGAAGGAAGAGGAAGAAGGATAAAGGAGGGAAGAAAGGAAGACAGGAAAGGAAAGAATGATAGGTTCGAAAGAGAGATCCAGCATGGCATTGTGCAGGTTACACTCTCTCAGTCCCAGAAAAGCTCATGAAAAGTTTGGCACCTCATGATGCCAAAAGTGGGAAGCAACTTGAAGACACACAACTACTACTACTACTAATACTACTAATACTACTACACAAAAGTCATGAGACTCAGCAATTGTGGGTTGGCTTGCAAGGAAAGGGAAATGGGGGGAGATAAGGAAACAGAGCAAAAGCCAATGGACTTTTTGGATACTCTGGAAACCTTGCTGGGTGATTACTGTCCACCCGTGTCTTCTTTCCCCACAGCTGAGGAACAAGCTGACCCCACAGGAGATCCAACAGTTTGCACTCTTGCTCCGGGAATACCGGATGGGGCTGGCGGTTGAGAGTTACTGTGCGGGCCTGCTCCGACTCTATGGGGAGAAGCGGAAGTTTCTGCTCTTGGGTAAGCAGGACACTGTTGATGCACAATGCCTTAATTCCTAGCCTGTGTTCCCAATTAAGCCAAGAAACGAATAGATATGATTACAATAGTTTATTCTGCAGAGTAACTAAAGGGTAGACCTGTGCAATTAATCAAGCCAGGAAAGTACTACACAGAGAAAGGAAGGGGCATACGGTAAGTTTTTGGCAAGCTATTTAACTTCAGCAGACTGAAAGCCAAAACTAAGGTTACAACAACATCTGTTATAGAACTCCAATATGCCGATGACAATGTTGTCTGTGCGTATTCAGAAGAAGACCTACAAGCCACTCTAAACACCTTTGCAGAAGCATACGAGAAGCTCGGCCTGTCGTTGAACATCGAGAAAACCAAAGTGCTCTTCCAACAGGCACCAGACAATCCCTCTCCAATGCCAGAGATACAGCTTAATGGTGTAACATTAGAAAATGTGGACCATTTCCGCTCCCTTGGCAGCCACCTCTCCACCAAAGTCAACATTGACACTGAAATACAACACCGCCTGAGCTCTGCGAGTGCACCACTTTTCCGAATGAAGCAGAGTTTGAGGACTGGGACATCCGTAGGGAGACCAAAGTGCTTCTTTGTAAAGCTATTGCACTCCCAACCCTGCTATACGCCTGTGAGACGTGGGCAGTCTACAGAAATCACATGCAACTCCTGGAACAATTCCATCAGCGTTGCCTCCAGAAAATCCTGCAAATCTCTTGGGAAAAGAAGCGGACAAATGTCAGCATGCTGGAAGAAGCAAAGACCACCAGCATTGAAGCGATGGTCCTCCGCCATCAACTCCACTGGACCAGCCATGTTGTCCGGATGCCCAACCACCGTCTCCCAAAGCAGTTGCTCTACTCTGAACACAAGAACGGAAAACGGAATGTTGTTGGGCAGGAAAAGAGATGTAAAGATGGGCTCAAAGCCAACCTTAAAAACTGCAGCATTGGCACTGAGAACTGGGAAGCCCTGGCCCCTGCGGTCAGCTGTGACCAGCAGTGGTGCAGAATTTGAAGAGGCACAAATAGAGGGCGAAAGAGAGAAACGTGCCAAGAGGAAGGCGTGTCAAGCCAATCCTGACAGGGACCACCTTACACCTGGAAACCGATGCCCTCACTGCAGGAGACGATACAGATCAAGAATAGGGCTCTACAGTTACCTACGGACCCACCGCCAGTGCACTGATCTTGGAAGACAATCCTATTCGGACAATGAAGGATCATCTAAGCAAGTAAGTAAGTTTTTGAAACTCACACCACGTTCATGTTTCTACCTCCTCCTTCTTCCCCCTTCACCTCTTCCTTCCTTCATGCAATCTGAGCATGCGTTGCAAAACCTTTTCAGTTCAGTAGACCTTTTGTTCATCTCAAAGATGAAGGCTTACCTGGCTCTCTTTGCTTCTATTCTCAGCCAACCCCTAACTCCCTAATCATACAGTCTTGAGTTTCAGTCAAGTGAAAAAGAACTTGGAGTTAAACATGAGCCAACAACGTGATGTGGCGGCAAAAAAAGCCAGTGGGATTTTGGCCTGCATCAAGAGGAGCCTAGTGTCTAGATCTAGGGAAGTCATGCCACCCCTCTATTCTGCTTTGGTTAGGCCACACCTGGAATATTGTGTCCAATTCTGGGCACCACAATTCAAGAGAGATATTGACAAGCTGGAATGTGTCCAGAGGAGGGCGACTAAAATGTTCAAGGGTCTGGAGAACAAGCCCTATGAGGAGCGGCTTAAGGAGCTGGGCATGTTTAGCCTGAAGAAGAGAAGGCTGAGAGGAGATATTTTATTTATTTATTTGCTGCATTTGTTGACCGCCGCTCTCAGCCCTAGGGCGACTCGCGGCGGTGTACAACATATAAAAACAGTTTACAATAAAGCACAACAAAAAAATCAACATATCAATAATGCACACTAATCTAAATTACACTAACTAATCCGCACCGTCACAACATAGAATCATAGCCAAACTCATAATCCATATTCCGTTCCAGTTGTCATTACCAGTTAATGTAGCACTCAGTTAAATGCCTTCTCAAATAGCCAGGTCTTTAGGCTCTTACGGAAAGCCATAAGGGAGGGCGCCTGTCTGATGTCAACAGGGAGGGTGTAGATATGATAGCATGTATAAATATGTGAGAGGAAGCCACAGGGAGGAGGGAGCAAGCTTGTTTTCTGCTTACTTGGAGACTAGGGCAAGGAACAATGGCTTCAAACTACAAGAGAGGAGATTCCATCTGAACATGAGGAAGAACTTCCTGACTGTGAGAGCCGTTCAGCAGTGGAACTCTCTGCCCCGGAGTGTGGTGGAGGCTCCTTCTTTGGAAGCTTTTAAACAGAGGCTGGATGGCCATCTGTCAGGGGTGATTTGAATGCAATATTCCTGCTTCTTGGCAGGGGGTTGGACTGGATGGCCCATGAGGTCTCTTCCAACTCTAGGATTCTATGATTCTATGATTTCTTGTTGTTCTTCCTATATCAGCTATATAATCTGGCCAAACTTTGGCCCTACAGGTGTTTTGGACTTTTAACTCCCACAACCCCTAACAACCTGCCAACTGTTAGGAATTCTCAAAGTTGAAGTCCAAAACACCTAGAAGGCCAAAGCTTGACCATGTCTGGTGTAGACCTATTTAATGCAGTTCAGCTGCATTGAACTTTATATGAGTCTACATTGAAAAAAGAGATAAAACCCTGGTATGAATTCTGGCTCTTTCTCTCTCTCCTTAGGAATGCGGCCATTCATTCCTGACCAGGACATCGGCTACTTTGAGGGCTTCCTGGAGAACATAGGCATCCGTGAAGGGGGCATCATGACCGACAGCTTTGGGCGCATCAAGCGGAGCATGAGCAACACCTCAGCCTCAGCCGTGCGCAGCTATGACAGCTGGTCCATGCACTCTGAGTCGGAAGCCTTCAACCGCATGATCACGGACATCACCCATGACATTGAAGCCCTGGCACATGATGGGGAGGAGGAGGAGGAAGGAGGAGGAGGAGGAGGAATGGACAACGAGGAGGACAATGAGGACAACTACCTGTGAGAAAGAGACTAAAGAGAGGAGGAAGACGCATAGAGTTGTGGATGTGGTATATCTTGATTTTAGTAAAGCTTTTTGACACAGTACCCAAGGTTCTTTATATGATGATGTAGTCAGTTTGGTAGGTGACGGTAGGTGGATGGAGTGCCTCTTGATTTCAACCCCATGATATTCATGCAATAAAAAGTGGGCTGGACAATTCTACTCTTTGATAGATAGGAATAATGCCATGTACCTTGATTTCAACAAGTTCCCCCATGATATTGTTGCAATAAAATGTGGGCTGGACAAGGATACTACTGTGTTAGGTTGATTGAGCTGTTCAGCATTGGAACTCTCTGCCCCGGAGTGTGGTGGGAGTTTTAAAGCAGAGGCTGGATGGCCATCTGTTGGGGTGCTTTGAATGTGATTTTCCTGCTTCTTGGCAGAATGGGGTTGGACTGGATGGCCCATAAGGTCTCTTCCAACTCTAGGATTCTATGATTCTATGAGTCGAACCTATGAGGATTGGGTTAATTGGCTGAACCCAAAAAGTACTGATCAATGGTTTCTCCTCATCCTGGAGAAGAGTGTCCTCACTACCTCTGAGGATGCTTGCCATAGATGCAGGAGAGYCATCAGGAGAGAATGCCTCTAGAACATGGTCATACAGCCCGAAAAAAACTACAACAACCCAGTGATTCRGGCCATGAAAGCCTTCGACAATAAATAAATAAATAAATAAATAAATAAATAAATAAATAAATAAATATTAGGCACTTTACAGAGAAAGAAGGTAGATTCACAGACTATAAACTACATTGGTGACATAAAGGGGATATTACATTTTACTCAGCACGTTCTTGTGAAATGCRGATTATGCTTGAAATTTCTCTGAGTGATACAACYATCGTCCTGAATCCATTTGTCAACCTTTTGCTTGTGAAACTCGGTGGTTGCTGTCACAGGACGTCCAACTCTTTGCTTGTCACGCAAGTCAGATGTTCCCACCTCAACATCTTTAAAGTTACTCGCCCAACAATGCACAGCACTCATATCAAGACAATCACCKTAAACAGCTTGCATTCTCTATTGAATCTCCTTTGGMGTGACACCTTCTGCTGTCAAGAATTCAATGACTGCATGTTGCTTAAGTCGCACTAACCGACCYTCTGCACAGGGTTCCATACTTCGCACTTTAACAACACAACCGTTCAATGGTAAGAATTCCCACCCAAATGGAACTGTAGAGAAGAGTCTACTGAACAAGCCAGTACCTGCCGTATACCAGTACTGCCATCTGTTGAGGAGTTACGAAGGTGTAGGCATTACTTTTCATTCAAACCTCGTCCATCTTTATGAACTTAACCTGTGTTCCAGGTACACCATGGTAATATGAGGCCCTGCTGGTCTCCTAGGTTCAGGAGATTCCTCTGTGAATGACTGTGGGGTTTCTCATTTATGCTGTGCATCTACACTGTAGTCTTAATGCAGTTTGGCCCCACTTGCTGCCATGGCTCAATACAAAGGAATCCTGGGGGTTGTGGTTTTGCCAGGTCTTCGCCTTCTCTGCTAAAGAGGGTCAATGTTTCACCAAACTTCCTCTCCCAGGATTTCATCACATTGGGCCAAGGCAGTTAAAGCAGTGCAAAACAGTATTAATTCTATGGTGTAGAGACACCTTGTACACTTTCAAGCATAGATGGAGCAAGCAAGCAACAACCAATCTTTGCAGAAGCTGCCATGGAGCAAGGCTGCCCTCTGTTGGCACATTGGAGAACATGTGCCATGGAAAGAATAAATCAACCATAGCAGAGCACCTGAGGAACCAACCTGGACACAGAATATTATTTGAGAACACAGAAATGCTGGACCACTCTCACAACCACCATGTCAGGCTACACAGAGAAGCCATTGAAACCCACAAGGAGCATGTGGACAATTTCAACAGAAAGGAGGAAACCATGAAAATGAACAAAATCTGGCTACCAGTATTAAACAACTCTAAAATTGCAACAGCACAACAACAGAGAGGAAACAAACAAGGACATCTAATCACCTCTCAACAAAAGTTTGCTCCAGGCATTGTCAGGTCATTATATGCTAACCAAGGTGGTCAGTTGAAACATTCACACCTAGCTCCAGCAGACAAGACTCCTTTGTCCCACCCTGGTCATGCCACAGATATATAAACCCCTTTTCCTAGTTCCAACAGACCTAACTACCTCTGAGGATGCTTGCCATAGATGCAGGCGAAACTTCAGGAGAGAATGCCTCTAGACCATGGCCATATAGCTCGAAAAAACCTACAACATCCCAGAAAGACTATATTATGGAAGTCATGTAATAGAATACCAAGTCTGCAAACTTTGTTTTGTTTGTTTGTTTGTTTTTTAATGCAATACAACTGTTTCGGTTCGCTCCTGACATGAGAAATTAATTAATTAATGGAGTTCAGAAAGTAACCAAAACATTACTTTTTGCCACTTCGGCAGGTAGAGTGAATGCAGTTTGACACCCTTTCAACTGCCATGGCTCAACACTATGGGAAGCTGTAGTTTTACAAAGGCTTTAGCCTTCTCTGCCAGAGAGAGAGCTGCTGCCTTAGAAAACTAAAACTCCCAGGGTTCCCTAGCATTGAGGTAAGCAGTTAAACTGGGGTCAAAATGCATTCATTCTCCAGTGTAGAGCCAAACAAGGTTTACTTTAATTGTGTTGTCCTCTTAAATGACAAGTACCAATTTTGATGGAGGAAAAGGGGGATATAAATAATTGAATAAATAATTAAATGCATCAGAGGTCTCTGAAAGCATATGCTACCAACTTCTTTCTCTTGGTCTCAAAGATGCTATAAGATCCCTTGGTTAATTTAATTAAGTCTTCTCAGGATTAAGATTGGGATTTGGGCAGGACTGAGCTGACATCATTATCTTCATCATCCCCATCGATGCCATATTTATGTCCCACCTATTCCCCTCAACTGTGTTGGCGTAATGTAAATCACACGGAGTTCACATTTTATCAGTCCGTCCACACACTGTCTTGTCAAAGAAAATATGCCACGCAGATTATCAATAAAGAACAAGTAGTTTGCTCTTCATAAAGTAGAACAACATATTTACAATCATGAGAGTGCTTGCATTAACTCACTAAATGTCCTTTTTAGAGAGAGAGAGATGGTCTTTTCATGTCCATGTGGAGAATCTCCTTCCAGCAGCTTTCCGAATGAAGCAGAGAGTGTTTGAGGATCGGGACATCCACAGGGAGACCAAGGTGCTTGTTTATAAAGCTATTGCCCTCTCAACCCTGCTATATGCCTGAAAAACGTGGACTGTCTACAGACATCACACTCAACTCCTGGAACGATTCCATCAGCGTTGCCTATGAAAAATCCTGCAAATCTCTTGGGAAGGCAGGCGGGGAAATGTCAGCATGCTGGAAGAAGCAAAGACCACCAGCATTGAAGCAATGGTCCTCCACCATCAACTTCGCCTCTGCTGGACTGGCCACGTTGTCTGAATGCGCAAAGATCACCATCTCCCAAAGCAGTTACTATAGTCTGAACTAAAGAATGGGGAACGTAATGTTGGTGGACAGGAAAAGAGATTTAAAGATGGGCTTAAAGCCAACCTTTAAAACTGTGGCATAAACACCCAGAGAGAACTGGGAAGCCCTGGCCCTTAAGCACTCTAACTGGAGGTCAGCTGTGACCAGCAGTGCTGTAGAATTTGAAGAGGCAGGAATGGAGGGCAAAAGGGAGAAACGTGCCAAGAGGAAGGCGCATTAAGCCAACCCTGATCAGGACCGCCTTCGCCCTGGAACCAATGCCCTCACTGCGGGAGAACGTGCGGATCAACAATAGGGCTCCACAGCCATCTATGAACCCACCGCCAAGACCCTACACTTGGAGGACCATCATCCTCGAACTACAAAGGATTGCCTAATTAATAGCTCAAGCCAGAATATGAACTGTTGCTAAAATTCCCGGACTCAGCTAGCTCCCTGGGCATGGCCCAACCAATCAGCTTCATGCCTTGCATTTTACAGTTATCACATACACACTAACTGATTTCTTATATGTCCTAACAGGCTGGGACTCAAGGTGATTTATGAAATTTAAAATCCAATTTGTGAGTAGCACTATGTAACAAAATTTGGAAATGTTTCTGTTCCAGGTTTGAAACTGTTACTTCCTGTTTAATTGTGCAGTCCTGACTTCGAAATTAGTTGTTTTACGCCAGAAACATTGTTTTTGTGGATGCCATAAGCTAGGTTGAATTGGTTGAAACTCTATGAAATATTCATTGAAAAACCATAGCAAAATGTTCTGTGGCGGGATGTCCTGCAAAACCAAAGTTTTTGCAGTTTAATAAACTTTTCCCATTTTTTTGTCATGTCAGGAGCATCTTGAGAAACTGCAAGTTGCTTCTGGTGTGAGAGAATTGGCCGTCTGCAAAGACATTGCCCAGGGGACGTCCGGATGATTTGATGTTTTTATCATCCTTGTGGGAAGCTTCTCTCATGTCCCCACATGGGGAGCTGGAGCTGATAGAGGGAGCTTATCCACCTCTCCCCAGATTTGAACCTGCAACCTCAGTCCTGCTGACAGGGGGCTCCAACTTTTCCCATGTTTTTATGAGAGAACCAATTAGGAAATGACATTTATAACCCAGGAACACAAATCGGGATACATTGTGTAATCAAATCCACAAAAGTCAAAACCACAGATGTGAAAGGGAGGACATATTAGACTAATTGCACAATTAAAACCATTTAAAATATTTGACCAAAGATGAAAAAAGAGGTAGAGTTCCATATATAAGTCCTTCCCTGGTTGGCAATCTATTGCCAAAAGTTTGCCGAAATAGGAAAGTCCCCATCTGCCACTGGAAAGACCAGAAGAGGTAGACATCACCTGAATTCATACTACCAACAGCACATACATACTCCCTATTTTGCCTTTGCCCTGCTCCTATTCTCCAAAAGTCCATACTTCATTTCACACGTAAACACTTCATTTATCGCATTCACGTGCTGGTTCTGCTTTGCATGGATTCAGCTCAGTGGGAGTTCTGCTTTGCATGCGGAAAATCCCAGGTTAAATCC